GCTAGGGTTAAAAAAAAAAAAAAAGGCTGTAGTTTCACTCTGCAGGCCTGCTAAATGTATACAAGAAAAAAAATACGGTCAGAGATCAAACATGATGCTTACTAAACCAAAACCTTAATGCCAAGTAACATTGAGAACCATACACAAAAGAATATACACCAGGGAGAAAATGCTTGCACGTACTAAGTGTACTTAAAGTCCTTGTGAACTATAACAATGAACTTCTCTTATTTGTTCCCGTTTGGTCTGTTAAGTGTACCACTGAAAGCATTTTATTGTGTATGTGTGTATAAATATATATATTGCACAGGACGCCAGAAGATGGGTCCCGGGAGAGGTGTATATTTCCCTTTGTTTAGATTGTGGTCCTTTTAAGGTACGGGAATGGGTTAACACCTGCTGCAGGAAGTGTGTTCAGAAGGATAGGAAGAGAGAGAGAGAGAGCAGAGGATAGGAAGAGAAAGAGAGAGAGAGAGAGAGAGAGAGAGAGAGAGATTAATGTGTGCAGACAAGGCTGTGGAGCAGACTAAGGTACTGGTGATGTGGAACAGCTGAACTTTACTGGAAGCCTGTGGGCTGAAAGAAACTCTAAGGTTAAGAGTGTGATCACCTTGTGGACTGAAACCATCCAAGCCGGTGAGGCTATTGTTATTCTTTTTTGTGCTGAAGAAAGCAAACGGTACAATTTATCATTTCTATGCTGAAGAAAGCCATCTTTTAAGTTATTTTGCGGTACCGAAGAAAGAAAATGACTGTTTATGTTGCTGCTGTGGAAAATAATCTATTTGCTCTTTTCATTCTTGCATGCGTGTGCACTACATGAGAACACAGGGATGAGCCATACAAAGATTAAAGCTTAAATAAACCCAAGAACAAAAAATAATATGTTGAGGCTTTGCAGTCCTTAGATGTGGTTGCTGCATCATTTTTCTTTTTTAAGCCTTTTAAAAAATATATTTTTACCTGGTCTCCCTGTCAGTAAGACACTTCCTGTTCTAGGAATATAGGCATACAATATACTGTATTTATGAAAAAGATGCTTTGCCATACTAGGACAGAATACCCCACCCTTTTCTCTATAACATAGAGGAGAGGTGTTCTATAGTATTGAGTGTTAACTTGGAATAATGTAAATGATAAGAATGCAACAGAGGCAGAGAGCACAATAAGTTTTACATTTACAAGATCTCTGACAGGATCAACTGGTGTTTTTTTTGCAATATATTGTGATGTTTGGGGAATTAGCTGGACCGCAGGACACAGGCTTTATCAGACAAATGTATGTTAACATACAGCTAGCAAAACTACCTGATAATCACTTGATATCCCCTACATTACAGCATGCAGATTGGAAAAGTAAGAGCTGCACTCTAAGTCAGTCAGGTTTTGCTGCATTGCACAATGATTAAAGTGATAAGTTTGTTCTTGTGCTGCTGCTCCTTCATTGTCCAATCACAGGCTGGGGTAGGCCCAAGACTAGACTGTATTGCCTAGCTTTAGTGTACTCTGTAGGAATGCCAGGAAAGGACCAGGCTTTGCTGTCTAGTAGGGGTGCTTTGATGACAATGCTGGTTGAATAAAATTGTAAATTCTTTGGCAGGTAAGATATTTCCTATATACAGTATATATTAAAGTTCTTGGCTGTTTGATTGTAGGTCAAATTTAGTAGTAGAACCCTCCCAATGTAAAAAACCCTTGGGGCTAATTTATTAATTTAAATTACTCAATTAATTTTTAAGCAGTGAGGCCATACCACCACTTTTTGAAGGAAAAAAAATCTTTCACCACATCTATAAATTACAGTGGTGTTCTTTACAAATGTGTCCTCTGCTTCATTTGGCACTATGAAGCATGCAGAACACGCTTCATTAAAAAAAAAAAAAAGGGGGGGGGAGTTCTAGTACTAAGAGTATGGTCACATGCCCTGTCAAAGTCATGCCACTAGGCTTTCCACCTATTGAGGTAGTTCTTTTAAAGGTTATGCAGGGAACATTTTTAAGAACACTGCAAGATCCACAACACTATCCACACTTAATAATTTGCACGTAAAATGCAGGCACAAAGCAATGTGCCATCCTGTGCAGAGCACAGCAATATCCAATTTCCATTATAAAAAAAGGCCCCTTTTAGTAACAGAATGCAAAAAAATCAGTTTACTGTAAATGAAAAATAGAAGAGCTCTCTTTTAACAAGTGCACCTGTGGCTATTTTTTTTAAACAAATGTGTTGATGATCTAATCATGACATAATATAATCACGTTACAATATTGATACAATATCACTGCCCTTTTTCCTTCACTGCAATGACTTGCTTTTACATGCGTAAAGAGGTTGGATATGCAAATGATGAACTGGTACCTGTAAATCAACTGTATTTGAATGAACATTTGCATATATAAAATATGAGAGTCTGCTATGGTGTAGTTAGACTTCAGTCAGTTAATGAAGATTATTTAAATTACAAGAAAAATGTTTCCAGAAATGGTCCAGGCCTAGAGTATCAGATATAGCCCATCAGATACATGGATTTAACACTCTGGTGGACACATGTCTGCACAGTACCAGTCTTTCTTATCTGCCAGAGCAGCTTTGTTCAGTCGGTGCCCTAGCATTTTTTCTGCTAGCTTATTCCTAAACACTGGGTAGTGTGTCTCTAGGGCACATACAATGGCTCATTACATGGAATTGAGAAGTGGTCAGCAGCTGCACGCCATTAACTCAGCTTGAGTCTGGTCTTCTAGCAGCATTTTCTATCATGTGTATAATTATATCCAAGATGTTCCTTTGAGTGACTGTATATCAGAACTAATTTTCTGTTTAAACACTCTATGTGCTGAATCTCCTGGATAATTATTTATTTGGATGTTATTGCTGCAATGTAAATTTGTCAAATATCTGTTCTGTGTTTTGCCGGTAACTCAGAGATTATAACATGTACATCCATTAGAAAAAAATACACATTGGAGAATTTACAAGATTTATTTTTACTGTTATTTAAATATTTTCTCATTCTTTTAGAAAACAAAATACTGTAAAAAATAATGTACTCAACAAGTAAATTGTAGGAAACATTTATGTGAACCAGAGTACAGAACACTAAAGCAAATGCAATAAGGAATCCAAAGCAACAGTATGCTATACTGCGCTATGCTAAGTATACGTCAACTTAATTGTTTTTCTTAGGGGGTTATTCACTAAGCTGCTGAAGGCAGCCAAGTGAATAACCTAGCCGAAGTAAAGTGAGCCAAACACCGATTGGCTATTTACTACGACCCAGTGCGGCTGATTTCACATCTGCTGTACATCTGCTAAAATCTGGTAGGGATTTTAAGGAGGAACCCCACCTCCAAAATGGGGGGGGGAAATGTGGGGTCCCCCCTAAAATTCCCAACCAGACCCTTAATCCGAGCACAGGCCCGGCAGGGCAGGAAAGGGGGGGGGGGGCGAGCGAGCGAGCACCCCCCTCCCTGCCATACCAGGCTCCATGCCCTAGGCACTGGGAGGGTGGTTTTCCAGGACCCCCCTGGAAAAGCACCTTGTCCCCATGATGATGGGGACAATGTCCTCTTCCCCACAAGCCCTGGGGCATTGGTTTTGGGGATCTGTGGCCAGGGGGGCCTATTTTCATCGGGGTACCCCCTTTAATAAAGGAGCACCCAGATGCGCCCCCCGTGAATGAATAAGGGGTACTTTTAACCCTACCCATTCACTAAAGGGTTAAATAAAAATATAAATAAACACCCAAGACTTTTGAAAAAAATCCTTTCATTGAAAAAAAACAAAGATTTTTGACAATTCCTTTATAAAAAAAATCCCAAAAACTGATCCAATTGCGAAGTCCAGCGTTGTCAGCCACGACAATGACTCGTTTAAATTTTTAAAACACGATGCTCACTGACCCGTCTGAACGCGTTGAACTCCCACCGCAAATTGACATTCTGACAGATGCAGGCAAAATATAAACAATTGGGCGGAGCTAGTGGTAGCATCACCACTAGCTCTGCCCAACTGTTTACATTTGTCCAGCACCTGTCAGAGTCTTCTTGCAGGTCCCGGCCAAATCAAAACATCTGGGCAGAGCTAGCCGTGATGTCATGGCTGGCTCTGCCCAGTTGGTGTCATTAAATGACAGCCTAGCGTCCTCTGGTCATTTGAGGACACTGGGCTGTCACTGAATGACAACAACTGGGCGGAGGCAGCCATGACATCACGGCTGGCTCCGCTCAGTTGTCTACATTTGTGGGGAGAACAGTCGGCTTCGGCAGACCGCGCCCCCCCCCCCCCGCTTCAGCTGTGACTTCGGTTCAGCCGAGCCGAAGCATATGTGTTCGGCTCGGCTGAGCCACTTGGCTGCCTTCGGCTGCTGTATGAGACGGCTGAACCGCAGGGCTCCAGCGGCCAAAGTGAGCCAAGGGATTAGCTGATGCTTCGGCTTAATCCTTCGGCTCCTTTGTGAATAACCCTCTTAGTTTTGGAAAGAGTGTGGAAGGGTTAGAACCCCTATCAGGTATCCCTTTTCCCTGTTCCTCTATCCTACTCAGTTAACACTCTTTTTGGTCTAATGTACAGATATCTATGAAAATGTACTATTTACCTAACAAAAGTGTTATTCAGCACTAAAACCTTCATCCTATCTCTTAACTGTTTGCTATTTTAAAAAGGCCAGTATAAATGATAAGTAATGGTGAAAAAAAACAAAAACTGTCTGTGCCTGTGTCTGCCATCATATGTGCTACAGTACCTTCAGTTTCTTCTATGTCCTTCTCACTTATTACGGCTTCATCCATCTGCTGGTCAGTTTCAGAAGGAGGAATTATAAGAGGAGGGTCTTCAGGAGATGTTTCCTTCTTCAGCTAAAGCCAAGAAATTGAAAAATAAATACATCACACTATGTCAGCCCATCACACTGAAATTTACAGGGCTATTTACAAAATGGTGAAGAGGTTGGAGAAGGCAGGAGAAGTGAACAATCTAGGACAACATAGCTGAACTGGAAAGTGAGCTGAATTGGAGAATTTTTCCAAATCAGCTACTTTGTCCTAGATTGTTCACTTCTCCTGCCTTCTCCAAACTCTTCACCCTTTTGTTAATAACCTGTTGGTTTTGTCAAGAAAAGGAATATACTAAACTTATCATGTTTTAGAGCAGCATTTAACTAATATTTAGATCACTGTACCTACTGCAGTAAGTCACTGAAATCACTGATCAATCACTCAATCAAGATTGTTCAGAAAAAGCCAATTACTGGTTTAAATGAATGGTACATTTAATATACTAGCTATTGATCAGCATTGCATGAAACATTTTCTTTACTGATTTTAATCAATCTTAGCATGCAGTACTTAGAAATGGCTAATGCACGTTTACAGCCCAGCTGACCATCATTCATTAGGTCCTTTGTGTATATCATTACTACATACAATATGCAGTAATGATACATACAGAAATATATATACCGCCATCTTTTTTTATCAGTATACTCATACCCATACCCAAAACGTAACATAAAAAAAACAAAACTCACCCTTAGCTCTGAGGAGAAAAATTGTTATTTGCAACTATAATGATAAAATATGTAAGAAATAGATAATCCGCGCTTCTGGAAAGGAGACTAAAGTGGAAATGTATAATAAATTAAGACCTAAAGCCGCTCTAGAAAGAGGATAGAGGAATCCTATCAACAATCGAGAAAATATATATCAAAGCGCTAAAGGTGTAACTAATAAAAGACTTAATGTAACCAAGTGATAAAGTGAAATTTTAGGTTTAGGCGGTCTAGCTCTAAAACAAGTGATGTGTCTTACATGGAATCATAAAAAAATTTATAAATAAAAATAAAATTAATAGTACAATAGGGCTGTGGAAAAACAAAAAAAATGATTGGGACGATAAGATTTCAACCACTGTGTAAAGACCTCGAATAGGTCACAGTATATAAACAATCCGTGAAAAAAATATAAACAATCCGTGAAAAAAATATATATAATCCGTGAAAAAAATATATTAGAGAATTGGAATAAATTGGTCAACGAAAAAATAAACGTGAAAAGTGTGTACAAAGGAAGTTATTAGTGATATATATTGATGGTGGTATATATTTCGTAGCGGTAGTCCAACAGCCCCCCTTGGGTGGGTACTCACCAAATGGAGTTGGATCAAAGGCTTTTAGTTGGTGACACTTGAGCCTGCAATCGTGCTTTCAAACTTGGACCCAGTTGTTTTTAATCTCAGTCCCTGCAAGATGAGTGTTCGGTTTTTCTCCCTTACAGCGCTGGCTGTATCCCAGAAGTAAAGCTGGATCGTCTCAGGCGCAGTGTCAAACAAAACTCCTTGCCGTGGTCCCGCAATATTTCAAAGATAAAAAAAGGAGAGAGCCCTCATAGTGTAGCGTGCAAAAAATATTTAGTTTTATTACAAGTAGTAACTTACACAGGCAAAAAAATCCGGCCGGCACAAGCAGCTCAGGAACAAACTTTAAAACCCTCGTGTGCAAATCTAGCGTCTGCCCTCTTTGACGCGTTTCGTCAGGTGACTTTTTCAAAAAGAAGGTAGATGCAAAGCAATGAGGTAGATGGTATATAAGCACTCTGCTAATTGGTCCTTTTGGAATGTCCGTGTGGACTTCAATACGTTGGCAGGACCACTCGGGAACTGTTTGCTGCTGTGGGTCTGCTGGCACCTGTAGTTCCACTAGCATGTGCTCTCCTCTTGCTGCACTGTTAGCAGCTATATGCTACACTATGAGGGCTCTCTCCTTTTTTTATCTTTGAAATATTGCGGGACCACGGCAAGGAGTTTTGTTTGACACTGCGCCTGAGACGATCCAGCTTTACTTCTGGGATACAGCCAGCGCTGTAAGGGAGAAAAACCGAACACTCATCTTGCAGGGACTGAGATTAAAAACAACTGGGTCCAAGTTTGAAAGCACGATTGCAGGCTCAAGTGTCACCAACTAAAAGCCTTTGATCCAACTCCATTTGGTGAGTACCCACCCAAGGGGGGCTGTTGGACTACCGCTACGAAATATATACCACCATCAATATATATCACTAATAACTTCCTTTGTACACACTTTTCACGTTTATTTTTTCGTTGACCAATTTATTCCAATTCTCTAATATATTTTTTTCACGGATTATATATATTTTTTTTCACGGATTGTTTATATTTTTTTCACGGATTGTTTATATATTGTGACCTATTCGAGGTCTTTACACAGTGGTTGAAATCTTATCGTCCTAATGATAAAATATGCTTGAAATGCAATTCACAAAGAGAAAAGGTTATTTTATCACTCATTATTGAGGTGTAGATTTACCACCTCCTTCAGGGTGGTGTTATAACAGATTTCAGGTGTTATATCATACTTGTTGCACTCTAATGAAGTGAGGTAAATAGAGATGGAACCTTTTTTCTATATTTTGACATGGTACTGCATTATGCAGAAAAATAAGGAAACAAGTAGTTGGAATTGCTGCACAAGTTTTTGTCCTTGTGTAAATTTGGAAAACTTTTTTACAGTTAGAGGTTTTCAACAAATCTCTTCTTACACAGAAAATCACATGTCTCTAGACACCCATCAATGGGTTTTTAGTGCAAGGGGATTGTTCCAAGTCGCAAATGTAATAACAAACCAGATTTTGGGTGGTTAGAACTGTTTGCCCTCCCTACACTGTTTGAATATCAACAGATGTAGATCTAAATCAACCTAAAATTTAATATATTCATTTTTAATAATGATAATGCTATTTCATGTTTACTTGTCTCCAGGGCAGGAAATATTCATTATATGTGAAATCCTTATGTGGTGAAAGTAAAAGTAAAACAGTCATCTACAAAGCATCTGCCCCCACCCCTTTCACAAAAACAAATGCATTGCAAAAGTGTTAAAATAACACCCAAAACCTTTATTTTATCACAGTAATAGATACAATAAAGTCTGTGATGTTAAAATAGCGTGTGCTTAACACAAGCATATCACAGGTCAACTGAAGGCTGCAATAACAATTCCAGCTTTCATGAAACGCATGTTTCAGCAATCACAATTAAGATCTTCAATCACGTTGTCCAGCAAAGTTAATCTATCATGATGACAAACCAATGACCCGCCATACTCCCATCCCATCGCTAAATGACAGATCCCCAGTGCTGACCTAATTTGGTCATAAACATAAACGGTCAATGACATCACCTGTGGTCCCCAGCACCATGTTTGCATTATCGCAGTACCTTGTATCTGTAATTTAGCTACAGGTGTGGGACAGGGAAACATCCTAAGGTGGTCGGTTGTTGTGATTGATAAAGATTTCCATTTCCGGATGCTGTGATTGATGATGGATTTATGTTGCTGGATAATATGTTTGAAGATGGAGTTTACAAGGGTGAATACTAGTAACTTTTTTTTATTGTAACAATTTTTCTGTATGTAACTAATGGACTTTTTTTTAAGGTGCTGGGGTGTTTATGTATATTTTACTTTTTCTTGAAATTAATAAATGTACCCCTGTTCTAATTCCCCTGTTTGGGGGTTGTCACGTTCCTTTATAGGTCCCCCCACCCCCCAATACAAATCTGTTTATTCTTTTTGGGGAACATAAAAAGACAGTGAACTATTTTTATAGATTGGTTAAATCGATCTAAAAAATATTTCTCATTGTATTTCTTTCGTCAAATTTTGCTACAAACAAACAAAAACTCATTCTAGAGCAGCTTTGAAAAAAAAAGACAGGAAATGTAACATTTCCTGTTTTTCCAAGATATCAATTCCAACAACCGTTTACAAACAGGTCCTTAGTACATTCACTGCAACATGCCATACCTGAAAAACATCTTCCTTGACCTTGTCCTTTGTCTCAATGGCTGAGTCAAATAGTTTTAAGAAAAAATCAAAGGTGAAGTAATATTCCGGACTTAAGGATCTTAGAGACTTTAAGAATGAAGATAAGACAGCCCCTTGTTGAGCTATGGGGTACAATGTGTCCCTCACTTGCAGCAGATCATTTAGGTGCAATCTGGCTTTCTCGACCTCATATGAAATCTTCAAAAAGAAAATGACAATATCAAAGTAATATTTACATAGTTACATAGTATTTGAGGTTGAATAAAGACACAGGTCCATCAAGGTCAACCTATTTTTGCGTGTATGTATGGGATTCTGCATGTGTATGCCTATGTATGGGTCCTTGTGTGAACTTCTTTTTTTTCAAAATTATTCAATCTGTGGTCTACAATGACCCTCAGATGCATTTCTGACTTCCCTAGTAGAATTTTCATTAATGTGTATTCCGCTTGCCTATTTTTAACCCCAAAGTGCATCATTTTTCAACATTAAACCTCATCTGCCAAATAGTTGTCCTATTTTATCCAGGTCCTCCTGTAATGTTATAAGGGGTTTTCCCATGTTCACTGACAGTAGAAATAGAACATTCCTACACCTTATGAGTCAATAAATATCCATCACTTGGATCTCCTGGCACTAAAATGATTGAGACCCTTCATACACTTATTAAAAATATTTGTGGTTTATGGAAGTGTTCAGTCACAAAGATACGCAACTGTAAGTGTTGCCAAATAAAATGTCCTGAAAGGGGTACTAGCTCTCACATAATTTAGCACTTATGCTGCTGTCAATAAGTATCTATTTTCATACTGTAGTATTGTGACCTTTGAGGTTACGCTTATAATCTTACAGCAATGAGGGTCAAATATGGATTTCATCCTGTTGCAGCTGCATCTGCATAGCTGTGTGTCGCTTCATGTCCTTATCTCCTCCCGCAGTCCAAAAACATTCAAACGTTAAAATGTGTTTGGCTTGTTTATTAAGACAATAAAGAGAATAATGAGGATGTGCAAAGTGCAGTAACTATTATCAACTAGATTTTAGATTACCGTCACTAGAGATTTGTGCATCCACATTGCTTCTTGAACTGCTTTACTGAATACATCTGTTGGTGTTTGCAGTAGTTAAAGAATAGTAGAGTGAATTCTCCTCTAGAACAAATAGGGGCTGATGAATGGGCTTTTCTATAAACCTGCTGCCAGTCTGCCCAGTGCTATATAAAGGAGCCAGATTCTTATAATAAAATGCTGAATTTGTTCTGCACACTACTTACTTTTTTCTTTTCCTTTAAAATATCAATAATGTTAATATCACTGTCCATATTGTTTAACTTTAGTGAAATAAAACATTCTCTACTTTTCTTTTCAAGCTCCTTTAGGCTCTTTTGATAGTCCAGGATAATGTTAGCCATTTCCTGTAATATAAATCAGGTTCATGCATCACATATAACACTCAAGGGTATGTTCTTAAGATATACAATTCCAGAAATGTTTAACATTATAAATATGCAATAAAGGCATTTTCTGTATAACTGGTATACTGTATACTCTGAAGTAAATATGTAAACGTTAGACAAGGAACAATAACAAAAGTACAAAAGCAAATCTAGTTTACAGAAAAGTATCAACCCTAACTACTATGGCACTTTTTATTTTCATAAACCAAACCAATTTTTACTTTGCTTGATTGTTCCCTAGGTCCCATCCATGCAACTTTTTGCCACAGTTCTTTGCATGCCACCCAGCACCCTGTTTGAAGCCTCTACCTGCTGCCAGAAGCACCTCTACTTATTACTCATAATCTAGTACTATAATACCCCTTCTAAATCTAAAAATGGAAACCTCTTCCAGCACAACTCCTATTTTGTTACTTCTATAAATTACATTTGTAAATTCTGCCAGCAGCCACTCTACTACTGCACCATTACTTCTAAATTGTAGTTCTTATTTAGCAACTTTCACCACCAGAAGTTTCTTTTTTTTTTAAATGACCAACTGACCAATACAGTTACCTATAAAATCACATAACTGCTATAAAGTACAGAAACATAAAATACATACATCGAACACACCAAAATATGTTCTCTTGTTTCTGAGTTTGGCTAATCTGCCTTTAGAGAAATTATTTCACATGTTTCACATAAATAAATAAATAAAAATCCAGACATTATCAGCTCAGAGACCTAAACAAAGTTAATGCCAAATTTAAGTAAAACAGTGGAAATTTCACTTCCTGCGCCAGTAACATTTATTATTGTATGTGTGTGAAGGTAACATTTTTTTTTTTTGATACCTTGAAAACTTACCATTAACTTTCTATAGAGTTCAGGCTGAAGTTTTGCAAAAACTCTTCTTAGCAACAAATCAAGCAAACTTCCTTCAGAGAAACCATAGTTAATAATAGTTGTACCACAACTTATTTCCGTGTTAAGACTGGGTTCTAACTTATCAGCTGCAAGATATAGTCTGAAGTGGTCTGCACAGAGAAGCCTATGCCCATTGAAGGATATAATTGAGGAAGTATCTGAAATAAACAACAAACTTCCATGTAAAAGAAAACAAATATGCCATTGTGTTTAACCTGGTGCATGCACTAGTCACATGTGCTTTTTGCAAATGGAGTAGATGCTATTGATTAGAGCACTTATAAAAGTACTAGGTTTAGGTCCTGCAGACCAAGTTTGTGAAAATTCACCTTATTTATGGAGCAAACACTAGCTGTTGATCTGACACCAATCTATATGATATTATAATTGAGAATCAAAGAAACATTTGGAAAATACTGTAAACCTTCCTCCACTGTGCACAGTATACTATCATTTTTTTTTACCTTAGTTTCTACCTTAAACCAAACAAGCCAAACATTCACCTTGGATACTGACGAATGAATGTTTGAAACTTTACCTGAAATGTACTAATAAATGTTAATGTCAGACATCCAGCCAAACTTGGGCAGAAATATTTATTGTTGCTAAAAATCAAATTACTAAAAAATGTGCCCCTTCAAATAGGATATTTAATAGCCACTTATTCCTCAGCCCACGCTATTAATTGCTGCTGTGGAGATGCTGCAGAGAAATTAAATATTAAAGAATCTTCCAGAGGTGTTGAGTTCCTGGTCCCTTGCCTCCTGCTGTGCCCCTATGCCACAGAAATGTGGCCCTCAGGGAAGTGTAAGATTCAAAAGATTATTTAAGCAGATATATTTTTCCTTAACAAACAGTGATACTAACAGTGGGCAGAACTTGATGAAGATGCCAGGGTATGTGAGGCACATTGGCGTATAGCAGTCTGTCTATAGGCTATAGAATCTGCCCACAGCCTGCTGTCAGTCACAAGGGAGGAGGACCAGGTGGGAGCTAGCCTCCCAGAGTTCCCCATCATGTCCTGCCCACTTCTACCTAAATTTAAACAAAGGAGTAGGTATAACCAGTAACATTATTGACCAAAAATGGAAAAGCCCATTCTAGGTAAATTACATCACCAGCTATACCCTGCCCCTTTGTTTATATTCTGCTGTGGATACCCAGTGTGGCTCACTGTGTTTGATGAGGATCTGCATCCCTGGATGACATGTGTGATGATGGATGTGCAGCATGGGACTTTTTTTAATAAAATGTTGATGTCTCATTATTTAAAGTTACACTTTTTTTGTAAATAAGTAGAGGTAAGTACCCTATACTCAATCACAAAGAGGGGATGGCATCTGGGGGCCCCCTTTATTTTTATTGGGGGCTTCCATATTCCGATCAGCCCCCCCCCCCTGCAAACCTCAACATCCTCTTGGCAAAGAGGTCTTTGTCCTCATCAACATGGGGACAAGGTGTTCTGCCATGGGGTGCCCCTTGGTAATGCACCCCCCTCATGTTGAGGGCATGTGGCTTTGTATGATTTAGGAGGGGACACAGAGATAAGGGTGTGATAATGGATTTTGGAGAGCACTCCACATCATTCTTTTTGTGTGGAATTCCCCCTTAAAGTCCATACCCGACCAAAGGGTCCTGGTATGGAATTTGGGGACAAGCCCACATCTTTCTTTTATTTTTACCTTGATATTTACAGCTTAATGGGCTTGGCATGCAATGACCCACAGGGGAACCAACCTGAGCGAAAGCTGTCACATTTAGCAGTGGTAGCTTCTGGTGCTGCCAGTGTGAACTTACCCATAAAGTCACCCTTTCTGTAAACAGCAAACATATAAAATTCACAGTGAACCTAACTCGGCAGCGAATCCAAATCTTATGACAAAGTTATTGCTGAATAAATAGGTTCATAACAGAAATGTAAAAATGGCTGTGGTGCATAAGAGGTATACGGGTGTGAGAGCTGAACTGGTTAATAATATTACAATAATTTTGTTTAATATGACTAGCAGGGCAAAGTAAAAACATTTTGCAAAGCCCCCTAATCAATGTAAGGAGTGTGAATGAAAAAGGAAAATATCACACCTATAAAAAGAAATACAGCTGAACATTATAAACTCTTCATGAGTACACTTCAAAGCTTGAGGAAAATTAAATGTGTGAAGTTGTAATACTGAAATCATTATGGTACTATGAATCTGTAACAACCTAAACACTGTAAAAAGTAGCAAAACAGCATTGGAAGTTATGGCATCACTGCACATTAAGGCAGCGGGTTTAAAAAATTGTAAAACATACCAGCCCATCAAACTCTAACTATCTCTCAGTAAAGGTGATAGAGCTCTGTTGCTGGGTATATCCTATGCAAGCATCTGTTTTTATGTCACTCACAGTAGCTTGCTAACAACGTGCAAAAATATGCATCAGTTCTTTGCAGGAATAGCAGACTGTGCAATGTATATCACAATTAAAGCCAATACAGCTATGACAATGCAAATAAGTAGAGAGAATTCTAAATTAGTTTTTTTTATTGTGTACACAAATTATTATTCGAAAATGGTTGCTTACTGTATCTATAAAATTTTGAGTGGTTTTGCACACATTTTCTTACTTAATTTATAATGGTCAATACTAAAAAGGTAAGATTATTTAAAAGATAAATATGTAATATAGCATATTACTATGATGCTTTTTGCATTTGATTCAGAAAGTATAGTTGTAGGCACCTCTTCACATTTTAAAGGCTCTCAGTTTACTGTTGTTACACAATTCATTGACTCATTAATAGCGACTCCTCACTTATCAGAGTGAAGTTTCAATGAGACAACATGTGCCTCACGGCATGCTGCAACCGCTATGCTGTCTAGTTAACTAAACCATAGTGAAATCCTTTGTTATGTATTAAATGTTTATTTGTAGAACAAAGGTTGGATGTATACTGTATAAAGTAGAAACAGATGTAAAATAGTTTAAAAATGTATACAGTTAAAAAAAAACTAAAACATTTGACCTTAAAAAATGTATTATTTTCTGTTAAAATACATGTACATACCTAGAGCATACATTCAATATCAAAATGCCATATAATGCATTGATGACTTCATGATCAAATATCCTCACAATGAAGTGAGAGGTGTTCATTTACTTACAAGCACAGACTTGCTAACCTCTTGGGGGAGCTGAGGGCAATATGATTTCAAACCAACTGCTCAACAAAATGGTTGTTAGGAGACTTTCTGTCTTCAAAAAAAAGGTGAAAGCTCCAGGGATAAGGTACTGAATTCAGATTTTTCAGATTAACTGGCTGCATGCTTGTTTCTAGTCAGTGAATGATATGTATTGAAGCCAGGATTGGAATGATAGTACTGGTAGCTGTACTTTTGAAGAACAAGCTAGCAATGACAGCTCTTGCATTCCTTTCTTTACAGGTTGTCTTTATCTATCCAGTAAAAGTCAGTGGGGCTTTAGTTTAAATCTTTAAACACCCTACCTTTAAGAAGTTGGTATAAATAAAAATCACAAAATAACATTATGAAATTAATCTGAAAAAACAGACTTGCATAAAAGCATTAGAAACAAACACATTGCCAAAAAGCATACCTTGATGGCTGCTGTTATCATTCGCAGCACAGCAGTGGTCAATAAGAGGCATCAGTAAGTCATCCCATTTACCACAGTAGTTATTTAGAATTAGGGGTCCACCAGATATAATGTTTTTTTCAATTGGAGCCAGGACACTGCTGTCTTGCCTAATTGAACACAAAGTTTTAACTTGATAAATACATCTAAAAAACAATTACCACATGAAAGTGATCTATGCTAGTTCTTTTATCCATACAATTAATTCACGTTCTTCCTTCTTGCTATGGATAAAAAAACACAGCTCCACATTTTAAGAAAGCTCTTCAACCTACTAAGCAAAGGGAGACTTAGAAAACTTGCAAAAATCTTTGGTTTCGCAGTGCACCAGATTCTGTGTATACAGCTTATATAGTAGAAGATACCAATCTTTTTTTACTGCTTTTCATGATGATTTAAAAAGTTTAAAATTTGTAACAGATATATTTTAACTCACCTTGCCTGTAGATTTATGTAAGAGAATGGATTTCCTGAGGTTGTACCCAGGATATCTTGAATCCACGTCTCTCCCTCAAAGCATGGATCTATCAGCAATGCAGGGCGCTGCCAAGAAAAGGAAAGTATAGCTGCATTCTCCATCTGCTGAGGAGTCCAATCTGCAGGAGCACAAATCATATTTGTATTGAGCTAAAAGTCCAATTACATTTCTGAAAGTTACATTCCAGCTCAACTACAAGGTCACCACCTGTCCAATAACAAGGTGAGCCAAGAACATTAATGATACAGGGCGACTGAGTGTGTTCTAATTAAATGAAATAACTAAAAAAATAATACATTATTTTCAAATAAACACCAATTGTGAATAAAATAATGAATAGATAGCATTAAACTGGGTTTTAAAAAGATGTATTTGTGTATCTTTCAATATGTCACAATAACATAAATAACCCAAACTATACATGTACTAGGCATACTGTATGTGGCAAACAGCTGAAAGTACTAATATTATCACAGTACTTTACATGCTTGGGGTATCTAAGCTAAACTGCGCTCTCTCCTAAAGTAAAATGGGAACCTTAGGCTCATGACAAGGTTATACCAGTTTTCTCTGTCATTGACTGACCTGTGCAAGGCTTGCCCTTGGCCTTTCAGGCTCAAAAATCTGTTAAGATATTGGTGGCTAAAAGAAGATGATCAAATTGATGCATTTATTGCTTTTTAAAGGACTGGTTCTATTGTCCTCCCTTCCATGTTAGGGTGGTTGAAATCTCTGCTGATTGCCCATATCTGTCAGATGAGGCAATTATGGACAACTACAAATTTTGCAGGCTGGTCTATTCAAAGCCAAGATAGAGTAAAGTCAATCTGCCTATTTATTGCTTGCTTAAAGTGCATGTAAATTATTATTTTTTTTAAGTTTTGGTAGAGAAGGGAATAGTTCTGACCCTGACAGGGTTTTTTTTTAAATTTATGCCACATTGAAGAGATTTCCCTTCAATTTCTGTCCCAAAAACACAGCAGGATGTAAGAGGAGATTTCTCTAAAGTGAGGGAATACTGTCAGTATTTGCTAAGGAAATGGTTCATGGGGAAAACTACTCTTAATGCCTTTTGGGTTTTTTAAAAGCCATACCCAAAGAGCCTGGTATGACATTTTGGGGGAGCCCCTACATCATTTTTTGAGGGAGAGGTGGGGCACCCTCTTAACATCTACAGCAGACCCTCTTCTAGGATAAAGGTCTGCTATAGGTGAAGGGAATCCCCAGCTGCTTTGTTTACAAACAGAAGGAAGTGGCTGGGAGCTGTTATTTGCCAGCAATTTAAACTACATTCATTTTCTTTGTAAATGTCTGTTTTGCATCCCCCAGGCATGTTATTTAAAGGAACTGTGCATTTTCAATGTTGCTCCTTAAGCATCATTAAAATCAATGCATTGGTACATGACCTCCAAGGCACTACCCAAACTCCCCATGCTTTTTGTTTTTGTTTGCCTATTAGCCTAGAAATTGGTCAATATTGAATTACAAAATTTGTATTGACTTTAATGCGGTGCACCCAAACTCAGGTAATGTTTACTGAACCCACCCCGCACCACAGCCAGGTATGTTGGACCATCTTAAATGCTTGGCAGAAAATATATAGCCAAATCTGTTATCAGTGCTTCTGCAAACTTTCTATATCTGTAAACAAAGAGTAATCCTAAAGACTCTCAGTTATTTGTCATATAGGCTGAAAAATCTAATTACTGTAGCTAAAAATATATATTTTTTAAACAGTATTTTTAAAATACTGTAAATGATTTTAAAAGTAGATTATTACAAACTATTAAGAAAATAAAAATCTCAAAGCATATTTAAATATAAAAGCAATAACCGTAGTTATTTGTATAGATAACATGATTTACCTTTTGCTGACCATTTTTGAACTTCATCCACCTTTACAATTCTCATAATCAAAGCCCTAATAAAGTCCATGTAGAGGTCCTCAGTAATGACAGGTAAAAAAGAAGAGGCATTGATTTCTTCTCCTTGGTCTGCAGTCTGCCATGCACTTTCCTCATCATTCTCTTTTTCTATTGAAACAAACAATTGCATTACATAATATAATAATAATATTATAAGTAGGGATGATCCCAGGTTTGGACCAACCCAATCAGCTGTTGCTAGGGAATTCGCCACCCGCAGCTGCACATGAGCAAAGGTGTGGGATGCAATGATGCCATTAACCTCATATGGCCACATGACTATATTTGGTCAATAACATTTACATAATATGGCCACGCGGCCATATAAAGTAATTGACAGCAGCACAATCATCCCACCCCTGGCTGCAGCTAGTTGGGTGGGTGTCCTCATGGCAATTATGGATTCAGAGAAGTTTAGGTTCAGACCCTGTTTGGTATGAACCCAAGCTCATCCCTAACTATAAGTAAAAGAAAATCAGTAGGCTTTGCTTCTTTAGGTTTTAGGTCTTTACGTCTAGACGGTTTGCATTATTCACCCAAAGGTACCTAAATACAGTGCTGCACTTTATTCCCATTTGGTTCACATATGTGTGTTGTTGTAGTTTGTTAAAATGCAGGTCCAATGAGAATGTACCCTTGGGGAGCCATTCAGAATGTGTCAGTCAATAGAACAGTGTTTTTGTAAACAGACCAAAGATGGCAAAGTCAATGCTAAGCTCGATTCAACTTAGCACTAAGTCCAAACCCCTGTCATTCAACTTTCTAATGACAGAGCCTCAGTCAAGAGAAGAGACTCTGGGATTGTACTGCTGAATGACATAGGCAAGGCTTAACACCAGGAGTCATGAGACTGAGATTTTTTATATTCCCTTTGGATACAGCTTCCATGTTACATTTACATGTAATACAGTGATTTATGAAGCCCATTATATTTCTTGAAAACTTTGTTGGAGGCTATGAATCCATAAAAATAATATTTCAATTTCAAATGGATGTCAGTGTGTTCGGTCTCCCACCAACTTCATATATCACTTGAGGCAAAATCTCTACACTGTAGTTCCTGTCTGCACTATTCCTGCTGGATTATTCATTTATTTCACATTAATTAAAAACTCAGATGAAAGAGCATGATACCTTTGATTGCCTTTATTATTTTCTAGCGCTGCCAGCACAGGGTATTTCAACCCTTAAAGTAGTGGAATTTGTATTACTGTATATACAGCCTGACTGCATTACAGTAATAAATAGACAGGGTTCAATAGGGCTTTATGAGAAATAATATGCTGTAACATGGAGCAAGTCACATGCTTCTCCAAACCCAGAAGTACTGGGCATTTTCTTCACTCCTGCTAGCTAAATGAAGCAGTGGGGAAGCAAAGGAAATGTTATTAAGTGCTGCTGGAGAAAGGGGCATAAAAGCGAGCCTGTTGCTTTTCCCTGCATGGGGATTTTTTTTCTACGACTTTCACATTTTTACAGGCTCGCTCTTCCATAATTATTTGTATTGAATTAAATATAGCGGTTTGTATATTAGCAACAAGAGAGAGTTCTCAGTGTCTCTGTGTGATTACTCTCTTTCTTAACAACTGTTAAATGAAAAACAATGGAACATCTATCTTTTACCTTTAACCCTTTCATTGCTGGGGGTTCACTCTCCAGCTAGCAAACTGAGGGAAGGTTAGTTGCTAAGCTTTATTCCTTAATGGTAATGGAAGACAAAAAGATCATAGTCTTGAATGTGCTATCTGGCAGTGTACTTGGAACACAAGAGTGCTTGATCAGAATTGCACATTTTGGCAGGTAAAACAGTTCACAGAAATGTATGTTAACTGTGTAGTTTTCCATCTGTCAGGAATTTGGCTTTATATATCAGAAACATGCATTTTATAATAACATAATTGTGGGTTCTAACATATTGCTTCTTTATGTCTCTTTAAAGTGATCCTGAAGCAGTTGCACTGTGTAATGGAAGAGGATGAATATTTACTTCTTCAGCAGATGGCAAATCCATTCTTCATTCTCTAGCAAAGCTAGCAGCACCACTAAAATCCAACATTTCAAAGTGTGTCCCCAATGGGTGGTTTGGTTCCTCCTGCTGGCTACTATGTCACTAAGAGACATTAAACTATACACCCAGAAGTGTCAGACAGCATTGATGCTGCCAGCTCTACAAGAGAGGGAAGAATGGGGTTGCCGACCACTGGAAAGGCAAATATTTATAATATTCTATTACAGGGTGCAGCCACCTTACATTTGTTTTAGACAATTGACAAAGTCCCTTCAAAGACATACAACCTTTACAAACCAATAAATACCTTGTGTTTTTAAAGTGTTTGTATCACTACTGTTCTTTTGCCTTTCCACAGGGGAATCGTTGGGGAATATAACTGAGAATTCAATCACACGCCCTAAAAAACAATATTTGTCAAGAGCACATATGGTCAAACATGCACAAGTGAATAATATGCAATGGCACATAACACATCTTGGTTATACATATGTTTAAAAACTAAGCTATCATTAAAGATGTTGAAGAAAAAATAAAGAATGCAATTCACAGATGTAACATAATGCAACATATGCAAGAACACTAATAAACTTTTAAAAATTGCATATAGTGATATTAATTAACAAATCCAGTGTCACTTTACTAAACATACAAGGCACTTTGATATGCAAATCCCAAAGCATTTTATTATGTAAATCACCCCTACTTCTCCAGTAATGTGTTGTTGGTCACTGAGTTTGTTGATCACATAGAAGTGAACTGTGTGAGATGTAAGGGCTTCCATTCTCAAAGTGAAAAACTCCATATTAGAGAGTCCCAGAATGTAGGACTCCTGAGGAGCCTAATAAGTCAGGTGACAAAGCATGTACTTTTACATTTTAAGATAAGGGCCCAAATGTTTATGAATCTCACTATAGTTTAAACAGTGTTAGTAACCTAAATTAAATCAAAGATAGATTTGCAGTGGAAAATACATTATACTAAATGTCCATCATCTTTTTAGTCTTACCTTCACTTTGCTATTACAGCAGTGGTGTAGGGTGTCTAAATATGGCTGTGCAGTCTAAAGGCACCAGAAAAGACCCAGTGCTCTCAGTAATTCATACAGACCTGGTCAGACACACCTCCTTCCTCTGTGAAAGGACACTTGTGCTGAGGGGTGTGGCTCTTACCCAGCTATGCTAATTTAGACTAGAGGTGGAACAGTATCTGCTAGAGATAAGGGTATTTTAAAGCATTTCCAAGCAAAAATCCATCACAAATCATAATATGTGGGGTACTATAAAGATCTAAGAAATTTGAGTCTTCAATGTGAGCTATAGCTTAAACAAACATATTATTCTATATAATATGTATGTAACGTAACAGTTTTCTAATTAATATCTCAATAGTAATTGGGTAACAATTCTAAAACATTCAATGCATGAAGCCACCTAGCAGAGAGGAACCTGAGAATCATAAGAATATGCATCTTTGAGTTGTGTATCGGTAGAAAATAGGTAATAAGTAGATCAGGTACACAAAGAGAAAAGAAGATACAGGATGAAAATATGTAAAAGGCAAGAGGCATGGAAAAGAATCACAGAAGGCAGGGAAGGAAAGAAGAGAAATTTGTGGGAAGGATAAAAGAAAGAGTGGGATCATGGAACAAAAGAGAGATACAAAGTTAAGATACCGCCTTGCTTAGCGAAAGCTAAGCAATTTAATAATAAAATATATTGTAATAATATCGTAATATATACCGGTAGTAATAAAAGTATGAAACTAAAAATAATAATGTTAATTCTACAAAAGAACACTGAAGCAACAAGCTCATTACTAGTGTCTCACTTGGCCAACACAGGAGATCTTACACTATACAGACATCTTTCATCTAGATCTGTATTACCTTTGTCTGGATCAATTGAATCTATCATTAATGGGAAACCTCTTTCTTTCACAGCCATAGGCCATTCCACTGTTAGCATGAGCTGTCGAAAGTGGTGTTCATAAGCACCAAGGTACGACACTAATCCCGCTGCCAGGGCTGTACTTCCAGGAATCCCACTGAGTCTGTCTGGAAGGGAGCTTACAATAGCAGCATATTTCTTGTTCTCGTCTTCCAGAAGCTTCAAAGAGATTAAAGATATTAAAGACAGTTAAATGGAGTTGTCAAGTTATATGTCACTTCATTGAATTGAGCTTGGCGAGGGTTATCTGAAGGGCTGGGGATTTTTACAAGCTCATTCTTTGTTGTTATTTCCGCAGCCCGTGACCATCACTCATCTCCAGCTTGCAGATCTGTGTGCAGTAAACCAAATAATACATCATCCATTTTTATACAGCTTACAGAGCCTTGTTCACAATATGCCCAGGAGCGCAAGTATATATTTTTTACAGTTACCATCTCAGTAATGATACTGTATTAAAGCATACTATTCCTTGATGTTTGGCTGATAATTATTTTTTATCTCTTCAAGATAGCAAACTAAGATCAGTAAGATCTTGAGTTAGCTATACTCATAAAACATATGGTTGATTTTTGAATACAACTGGTAAACATCAAAATAGTGACAGTATTTTCTTTTCTATGAAAATACTGATCTGCACACCCATGTCCTAGTTTTTGTGACAGTAAATATACCCTACAAGTAATGGATTAATTATCTCTGCACAGAAACCTAAGAACAATTGCAAACAGTTGTACATCTTCAGTCTGATTGACCAAAAGGCTTCCAACAATGGTGTTCTGAAACTGTAAGGGTTGCAGGCATCTAAAGTTGATGGATTGGAGCAGCACAGTGGCTTGAGTGCCTTGCAGCACTGGGGTCCTCAACAGGGCTGCGTTTGTGTCTCACCAGGGCTGCATGCAGATCTCACCAGGGATGTATTTGGGTCTCACCAGGGCTGCATTCGCGTCTCACCAGGGCTGCATGTGGTTCCCCCCAGGGCTGCATGTGGTTCCCCCCAGGGCTGCGTTTGGGTGTCACCAGGGCTACGTGTGGGGCACTCCAGTGCTGCGTTCGTGTCTCACCAGGGCTGTATGTGGGTCTCTCCAGGGCTGCATTTAGCTGTCACCAGGGCTGTGTTCGCGTCTTACCAGGACTACATGTGGGGCTCTCCAGGGCTGTACTGGCTATTGCAGGGCTGCATTTGGGTGTTGCCGGGGGTTCATGTGGGGCTCCCCAGGGCTGTACTGGCTATTGCTGGGCTCTTCAAGGCTGCACTTGGGTGTCACCAGGGTTGCATGCAGGTCTCACCAAGGCTGCATGTGGGGTTCTCCAGGACTGCATGCAGGGCTCTCCAGGGCTGGGATCACGTCTCACCCCACTGTACTGTGGGGTGCCAGGATCTCCAGTGCTGCGATCGACTCTGACTAGGACTGTATGTGCGTCTCTCCATAGCTGCACCAGCGGGTGCCCGGCGTCGGGCTCTCCAACACTGTAAAGGCAGGTGTGGGACTGTCCACAGCTGTCCCAGTCTCAGGAAGGAGGAGGAGTTGTGTGGCCGGACCGGCACTGCCAAGGACAGCTACTGCAAGGTCCGCAGCAGGCTGCCTGAGGTACCCAGCAAGCTCGGGAACTCAGGGAGCCAAACTTGTTTAAAAATGTAAAGGTCCGCTATCGAACTTTAGAATCGGGGCATTTTCACGAGTACAAGTACATAAAAATGCCCTGTATTGGCCTTGATACCTATACTAATATCGGTATTGGTGCACCCCTACTATAAACACATATATTTTTATGGTTTTACCTGCAAAAGAATTTATAAATCTGTTCATCCAGGCTTGTGATTTATACACCTCTGCCACACTGCACAGCCAGACAGGTGACATCATTATTTCCTGATTCGACAAAGCATATTCCTTTTACACCTCTCCACCTTCAGCCTCCCCAATGAGCAATTAATTACCATAACCACTCCATCCAATTATTGAAGATTGGATTCGGGAAGCAGTAAAGCTGAACCAGAAAGCAGTTAATTGGAACAAGAAAGTAGTACGTAAGTATTTCAACTCTGTATCCGTTTGCCTGGAGTTTGCTTTAAATGCAGTTTCTTCTCAGAACACCACTTTTGCACATCTGCCTTAACCAACCATAAACACAAAAGATATTTAGTTTCAGTTTATTCTTCTACTTTTGAAGGTGATAGCATACTTGCACCCCTGTTTTAATTGTATTACAACTAAGGAAATCTTGCATGTTCAATATTTAGTTTTCATTTGCTTTGTCATGTGTACCTTGCTAGTAAAAGCTAGTACCAATATTTCCTGTATTCTTTATTTATAGTGTTGTCTGTTAATGCTATCTGCTGGTGATTGTATAAATGAAATAAAATACATACCGGCGCTACCTGAGCTGCCTGATCTAATTTATTAGCTATTTCAACAGTCCTTTGTTGTTGCTTGTTTTTATGCATGGTTGCCTCTTCAAAACCTCTCTGTAGGTCACTTAATCTTAAAAGAAGAGCTTTTTTTCTCTGCTGTAAAGATATCATTTTCTGTTCTGCATCTTCTAAAGCAATTGTCATCTCCGTAACTCTGCTCTGCAAGGGTTTCACCTGAAATACAAAATAATCTCAGATAAATTATTTTCATCCCCTAACAGTCAATTTATTTCAACTCCTGGATTATACATGACTACCACTAGAAAACTGTTGGTCTCTTACAGTGGCGTAACCAGAGTTCTGGGCGCCCGGGGCAGAAATTTTTTTTCGCCCCCCCATTATATAAACAACCACTGGAACTGTACCCTGCACCTCCCCTCCACACACACATGTTTTTATTTTAATTTTTCAAATTTTAATATTTTATTTTTTTTGAAACTTTTTCATTTTTTTAAATCAATTTTTATTTATTAATTAATTTTTTATTAAATATTTTTATTTTTTACTTTACTTTTAGGGGCTTCGGGGAAATATTGGGGGTCTAAACAGACCCCTGATATTTCCCTTTAAAAATAGAAAAAGAGATTGAGGACACAGAGTCCACAATCTCTTTTTCTGTGTCCCCTGTTATCAATGAACAGGAATCCTTTATGAGTGTTCCTGTTCATTGATAACATGGTATGTTTACTATAACTACAATTATGAATGAACAGGAGGAGATATAGATCACTCCCATTCATTCATAATTGAGGATATAGTATACATACCAGGTCCTCAATTATGTACAAACACTCAGCGATCACTGATCGCTGAGTGCTTGTACCCGTTCTCCTCTCTGACACACACTGTCACAGGAGGCTGCAAGAGGAGAGCCCAGCCTCCTGTGACAGCGCTGGCTGTCTCCGCCCCCACACCGCTCTGCTGCACTGTGATAGGCGGCCGAGCGGTGTGGGAGGAAAGACACCGGCCGCTCACAGCGCTCGTCCCGCAGCGCTCGGCCGGCTGTCATTTTCTCTCTGATTCCTTTCATCCCTGCTGGGCACTGCTCTGTGTCCCAGCGGGGATGAAAGGAATCACGGGCGCGCCGGCAAAACTGCAGGAAAATGTCACTTTCGGCATTTAGCCGAAAGTGCCATTTTCGGCCGGCGCCCCCCCTTCACTTTTCGCCCGGGGCCCGCGCCCCTGCTGCACCCCCGGTTGTTACGCCACTGGTCTCTTATTTACTCCTTGGTTAGTAACACACGACATGCGGTTTGGGTAGAAACTACAGCATTCAAATGAGCGAAAGAGCTTTTCATTTTCTGTAAGTGACAACAAAAATCATCTCTGAATTTGTGCTGACACTGTCCTTACTTCTGGAGGGTGGCTACTTTTGTTCCCCATGGTTCCTTTTTGTGTTTTGATGTAGCCACCGCTCCAAGCTCACTCCTGTGATGGACTACAATCTCAATACAAATTAGTAAACTAAACATGAGATTGTAGTCTATCACAGAAGGGAGCTTGGAGTGGTGGCTACTTTACAACACACACAGGGACCACGGGGAACACACATAGCCACCCTCCAGCAGGAAGAACAGTGCCAGCACAATTCAGAGATGATTTTTGGTCATAGTTAAGGTACTTGATTGCATTTTTAAAATTTAACCCAAGCTTAGTGTCACTAACTTTATGTAGTGGTCAGAGCTCTGCTTCTCTGAAATCCCAAAAAGTCATTGTGTCAGCAGTGTTTTAGTGGCAAACAGATTTTCATGGGTGCATGCCATTTTATTAAAGCAGTGTGCACATTTATAATAGTACTGTCACTTAAATAGGAATGAGTCACAAACAACATCCATAAATCCAGCTCAACCGATTAATTGTGCTCTCAATCTGATGTCAAAAAATATAAAAAAAATTTCCAGCTTTAGAAAACACAGTTGTTTTCAGTCTTAATTAACTAGCAGGAGATTTATTTAGATAGCTTACATGAACTACTTAGGGGATTAATGATCACTGATTTACGAATATTGAGCAGCATTTTAATAATCTAGGCAGAATAATCACTTACACCTCAAACCAGCTTTTTGAACCATTATACTCTTCAGCAATCACTCAAAGGAACTTAAATGATTCTGATTTATAACTTTAGCATACAGGGCCCAGTACATTTGCTCTCTCAGTGTGTAAATTCAACAAATGCAATTTTCGGCACCTCTAGAGAACCAATTTAAGTCAACATTATGCATGAGCTGAGCATGCTGGAATTCTCTACTCTCTTATTTAACTCATTAAATTTGCACTGAACATCTTGCAATTAAAATTTCACACATATTTCTTCTTATGATTGACATTTGGCCTTGGTAAAAAAATGTTGAAATTGGTTGCTTTGAACACATAAGAGAACAGAGAGAGTGTGTGTTTTAGGTCTGATAATGTGCATTAACTCCTTGAACCTGATTACTTTCTAATAGATATCATAAAGCTGGATTTGCAAACCATTTAGATTTAATAGGTAAAACTAGTTTAAGTAGCATAGGGATAAGTGAGCTTTTACTAACTTTTTTTTAAATATGTAAATAACTGAAATGCAAAAAAAGGCACACAAATGACAGTTAGGGTAAGAATCGCAATATAGAGAACACAGTGTGATTTTCATAAATGAAAACTATGAAGATACAAATTGCAGATAGTAAAGTATATCTAAAGCCATTTTTATGTGAATAAAGTAGGGAATGGTTATAACCTCTGCCGGTGTTTTCATCTTTGGTATTGGGAGGTTTCCCTTCACACAAGGAAGTGAGTAGAAATCTCTCCAAAGAAATGCCCCTCTTAGGCATGTGTAACTTGAAGTGTGCCCCATTGGAAGACTTCCATTTTAGTCCAAAAGTTAAGGCTTAACAGTATAGCATGACTGCTGCTACAGTATACATTATCGGGCCTTTTAATAAAAGTTTCAAATGGCTACAGTGCTGGCATCTTAGAAGACAGGTGTATCTATCATCATTACATTTCTTGCTCTATATAGTTAACATAAAAGTATAAAAGTGAAATGTAGGTAAACAAGCTACACAGGGACTACACAGTGGCTCAGTGTTTACCATTTCTGCCTTGTAGTACTGATGCCCCCTGTTCAAATCCAGGTTTGGCACTATCTGCATGGAGTTTGCATCTACTCCTTGTTCTTGCATGGGTTTCCTTCCACACACCAAAGGAGGTAAATTAGGTGTGCATATTAAATAGGGACCTTAGATTGTAAGCTCCTTGAGGGCAGGGACTGATGTGAATAATTAGTATGTAAAGCTCTGCATAAATTGATGGAACTGTATAAATACCTGTAATGAATTAATACATCTAAAATCTGTCTTGGCACAAGTTCCTATGAAGGAACATATTACAGTAATGTAATCTATGGTATACATTTGTGGTGTTAAAGACTACAGGGTAGTCTTGAATAATATGTGTATGTTGAAAAAAGTTAAGTGCTTTGAGCAAAGAAAGTCAGTTTTCCGGCTGACCCCACCAATAATTAAATGTCTCTTCTAGGAATTTTTGGTTGTATAGGAAAGGATTTATAAATAAGGATTTCTTAATAAGTTGAGAGCCAGAATCTTACACAGAAAACAGCCAAGTCACTAAAATGGCTTTCGCTCCACAGACATGGTCAGTGAAACAGGTTATAAAAATCCCAGAAAAAAAATTGGGATGACATATACTTAGCATCTGCAGGAAAGTGCACTTGGGCTTTTTAATAGCATAGTGAAAAAGATTTAGAGTGTCGGGTAATAACACATCAGCTTTCATTTGTCAGGTCACTGTCTGTATGAGTTAACTGCCTCCCACTGCCATACCTTTGCTATTGCCACTATGTATTATACAAGACCAAATGTCTATATGGGATTCTGATCATCTGGACAGCAGAAAAATACTGTATCCTTTTTCTTATAGGACAAAAGGTTACTCAACAAGAAAGAAGCCTTCAGCAAGTAGATATTTTCATTTTTTTCATGTCATGGTACCACTGCTTTATAACACGGTTCTTGCAGTTACTATTTGGAAAGTATTAAGTCACATTTTTTATATTGGTGTCACTCCATAAAATACTAAACAGATTACATCCACATCTACATGTCTTCATAAAAAAGGAAGCAGGTGATACGACAGTTCTTGTAATTACATGGGTTAAATTGTATTATTAGTTCAAATTGGATTATATCAAAACGAATTGGTTGGTTGTGTGCTGTTCACTTGTTGTAATTATATTATTCATTCATAATAAATTGTACTGACAAAAACACATTGGATTCGTATGCTAAATCATGTGTGCTGTTGGCTTTTAAGTTAAAAAAAAGGTTGCTCTGTTGGCTTCGTACTTCAATAGACAACTATACATGTCAATCACAAAATATTTATATTACTGTTGTGCAGCAGAGGTACAGTCTGTGCTTCATCATTAGCCTATTCCTTACTATTCAAAGCATTTCAAAAGATTTGTAACTACCGTCATGTTTTCCGGCATTTCATGCGAAACCTAAATTAACCTAAAGCACTTTTGCTATCATTCATGGTCAGTCAAAGATTACCTTAGAAGTTAGAATCCGATAATACTGCACTGCCCCCTGAAGCCATCTCATTAGACTCCCTGCTGCCATGTTACCAGCCGCCTTCCTCTCCATGTTCTCAGGGGTAAACTGAATTTTCCTTATATTAGCTTCTAGCAGCTCAAAAGTTGACTGTGGCAACTAGAATTTGTAACAGTTATAAATATTAAAATAATTTTTCATGCACATGTAAGCACATTACTTTTTTAATTTGAATATTTAAAAAAAAAATACTTGTAGGAATCAATGGACCATGCAACAGTGATCAGAGTACAGTATTATAATAAACATGCCCACCAATCAGAATCAACTAAAAAAAAACAAGTATACTGTATATTAACAAATAATACCGTAGGGTCTATTTAAAAAAAAAAAAATTAATAGCTAAATGTCCAGAGAATCTGTACAAATGTTCTTAGTGTATTTTGTCTTCTGGTCAAATGCATTTCAATAGGTTTATTCATAAGAATCAGGTGAATTGGGAAATACACTATTATGGCCACTAGATGAAGCTAAGAATCATAGAAAATAAATAAATGTGAGTATCGAGATTCAATGTTACCATTTAAGAGAATGGCAAAGACAATGTGTATATAATATAACCACTAATATCCATGTAGTAGCAATGGTTACATATGCTATATGCTCGCTGCAAGTTGGAGCTGGAATTAGATATGTTTAGTGCACTCTATAGTTGATTGCCTACACATGAGCCATGACACAGCTGCATGGCACACTTGCAAATACATGAAATTGGGATTGTTACATTTTCTTTTAGCTATTGAAGGGATTTCCACAAATATATAAACATATACCTGCCTTGATAAACTAGTTTGATATGCAGTATTTCCAATTGTGTGTACTTGGCGATTAAAGCCAATAGGAGTAAACATAGAAGCAGGGGTTTGAGAAAATCATTGTTGACCTACCAGGGTGTAAAGTTAGTTCAACTGAAGATGGTTAAATGCTGAAAAACAAGTAAACCATCCTTGGGACAGATGACAAATTGGGGCTTTAAGCATGCGAGTTGGACCATAGCAAAGCCCAGGAAGCAACAGGGAGGCCTTTGAGAAATCTGGTTGGTCCAATCTGTTCTAGGCTAATAGGCTTCTTGATGTAAGATATAAAAAGAGCTAGCTGCCATACAGAATATATTCACATCTTACATTCACATCACTAAAAATGTTTTACCTGAGCAGCATGAAATGTTGTTAGCTCATTCATGAATCGGTCAAGATTGGCCATTTGCCTTTTAGCTCCCTTTGCCCAGGTGAGGTCAGTGTTTGGAGACTTCAGAATTATGATGATAGATGCCATAAGCTCTTCAATATCCAAATCTGGCTTTTGCATTGCACGCAGTTCTCCTGCAAAATAAAAAATAATATGACACACCCAAGATACTCTTTAATTAATTGACACAATTACCTCTGAAGTCTTTGAAATATAAATCAAGAGGTACTCCAACAATGACATTTTAAACAAAGATTACAGTCAGATGCCATAGGGCAATATGTTGTGTACTTTCCTTAACTTGCTTACATATAGGTAAGCAAGGTAAGAGTGAAATCAGTTCAGTATAGGTCTCTTATTACAGGAATTACTGTGGTATTTGTAAGAAACTTTCAGAGCAGCAAACTGTTCTTCAAAGAGTAGTTAAAGTAGAACTATTGGTTTTGGATACTGTGGAGAGGAATTAGAACACCTGTTAGGTTTTTTGGGGGTTTTTTTTGCTGTGTCCCCATTGTCCTGGTGACCATTATCACCAAGGGTGAAAGAAAATCCCAAATTTTGAGTTGTCACTAGAACTGAAATAGAGGGGAAATTTCCCCAATAGGACACAGATGGCAAAAGAAACAAAATTGAGGATGCACATTAAAAAAATGGGCTTTAGTTATACTGTAAATCAGGACAGCTTTCGCATATAATTTGGATACATGCAGAATAGTCTGTGGTGGTTTTATTAACACTACAAGCGCCCTAATTAATTCATGTACAGTTTAAAGCAAACATGTAATTAATTTTTGCTATTGAGCTAATGATGAAAAAAATGCATAAACAGAAGTTATGTTCCAGACATAGAGTATGTCATTAAAGGAGAACTATGGGGTTCTATCTTTTCTTTATTATTGCATTCCTTAGGCTAAATAAGTAAATTGTGTAATTTACTCCTATTAGCCAAAATGCACCCTAAGCCTGTAAACCCTTCTTTAAGATGGTGGGCGGGGCTAAGTGCCGCAATAAGGAGAGATCCTGACAATGCTGCCGGGATCCTCCCCACTGATCTTCGTCACTGTGACTGACAGTTATTCTTGAGAGCTGCTGCGCGTCCACGAATATATGGACATGCGCAGCAGCTCTGTGCACGCAGCTCTCCTTACCTGCACGTCCCCGTCCTCTGTGCCAGCCTTCCAGACACGCTGCTGTGTAGCCCTTGATCCCCTCCCTCCTCCTCCCCATCTGCCCCGCCTACTTCACGTGTAGTGTGCAGTGCATTGAGAAGATCTATTCCCGGGTCAGAAGCTCTCTCTTCATATTTTATCACAGATGGGCAAGTCCATATATGGTGAATGATGTCACTGAAGATCCCTGCTGATCGGATGTTTGCCAGTCTGCAGGGTTCCCTAGTGACATTATTCACCATATATGGACTTGCCCATTTGTAGTAAATGCTGAAGAGAGAGCCCTCTTTCCCCTCTCTCATCAGCGATCCCCAGTGATTTTAGTATGTCAGTGTCACACAGGGCAGGGAGAGAGAGAAAGGGGAAGGAGCCCTCTCTCTATCTTCATCATTTACCACATATGGGCAAGTCCATATATGGTGAATGATGTCACTGGGGATCCCTGCTGATCAGATGCTTACCAGTCTGCAGGGATCCCCAGTGACATCATTCACCATACATGGACTTGCCTAAATGTGGTTAAATGCTGAAGAGAAAGCACTCTTTCCCCTCTCTCTTCAGTGATCCCCAGTGATTTGATTGATGTCAGCGTCACACAGGGCAGGGAGAGAGAGAAAGGGGAAGGAGCCCTCTCTCTATCTTCATCATTTACCACATATGGGCAAGTCCATATATGATGAATGATGTCACTGGGGGATCCATGCTGATCGGATGCTTGCCAGTCTGCAGGGATACCCAGTGACTTCATTCACCATACATGGACGTGCCCATTTCTGGTAAATGATGGAGAGAGGGATGTCTCTTTATCCCCTCTCTCTCTCCCCCTGTGTGACGCTGACATCCTAATTACTGGGGATCGCTGATGAGAGAGGGGAAAGAGCACTGATGTGCAGGGAGGCTGAGTCCGTTTATTTCTTACAGTCTCTTGCTGCTGCCTTTTTACTTCAGACTCCGCCTCCCGCTCACAAATGCCAGCGTGCACGCGCTGACAAAACACAGCTGTGCACGATGATAGGAAACTCGGCCCCAGCAATGGGATAATTTGGAAAAAAAGCTGTGGGCGGGCTGGATCAATGGTTAACGCCCCCTAAGAGGAAAGGAGCTCGGAGCAGGGCTGAAGATGGCCGTTTATTACAAGTTTTGAGGATTTTATCTGTGATGTGCTGCGATTTTAGAAAAAAAGAAGAATTCTACTACAATCAAGGTAAGGGGTATTTTTATTGCCCTTAGATCATAATTCTCCTTTAAGATTCGTAGCAACTACAGACAAAGGCAGATAAAGTATTATGGAAATGTTCACTTTTCCTGTACAGTAAAAGTCTGGTTTGATCCCCTCCTATTCTTTCTCTCCTTACGTTGTAAGAACCACAAAAGCCCATGTGCACAAGCCCTTAATGTGATATGAGACTCAGGTGGTAAGAGGGGGTACAGCCAAGCTTAAAGTCACATGCTCAGTTTGCATTGCCTAAGTTTGTTACTCTTTTTTCCATATCTATCCTTTCCGTTCCCTCCATTTCAAGCAGACCATTTTATTTTGGAAGACTGTCAGGTTTCAGCATTTCAGCATAATAACTAGGGATGCACCGATACCGTTTTTTTCTGTATCGAGTACCGATATTTTTTTTTTTAGTACTCGCCGATACCGAATACCGATACCTGAAGTCCCATTAAGGAAGCCAGGTGGTGTGTAATGACTCACGACCTGGGTTCCTGATTAGCCGGGAAACCAGGCGAGTGTAAAGACTCGCCAGCCGGCTTCCCAATTAGCATGGAAGCCATCTCCATGCTCCCTCCTCACCATGTGATGAAGAAGCATAGAGCTGGCTTTCTGGCCAATCAGGAGGCCGGATGGCGGGTAATGACTCGCCGCCTGGCTTCCTGATTGCCGGAAAGCCGGCTCCATCCTGCCTCATCACCAGATGACGAGGGAGCATGAAGCCGGCTTTCTGGCCAATCAGGAAGCCGGGGGACGGGTAATGACTTGCCAACCAGCTTCCTTATTGGCCAGCTTCCTGAACAATCAGGAAGCTAGGCGGCGAGTCATAACACGCTGCCTGGCTTCCTGATTGGCCAGGAAGCTGGCTCCGTGCTCCATCCTCACCATGTGACGAGGGAGCATGGAGCAGGCTTCCCGGCCAATCAGCAAGCTGGGCAGCATGTAATGACTCGCTGCCTTGCTTCCTGATAACAGAGGTTTTGGTATAGGGCTAGGCATCAGAGCATTTGGGCATGTACGACTACTCGCCCAAATACTCGGTATCGGTATAATACCCTAATACTAGCCCATGCCAAGCTATTTTCAGATTGGTGCCTTTTCGATAGATATAGGGGTTAATGAAAGCATCCCCAGATAGCTGGAATGTCAGTCATATGAATAACTAGATTTTTCAACAGGTAGACGCATTTCAGTAGCAATTACTCTAGGCAGAATAAATGTTACCCACCTAAGGCTGTTACATCCATGTTTTGCACCAGGTCTTTAATATTTTCTAATATAGCAGAGCATTTGTACTCTGCCTTCTCAAGTGCAACTTGATATTCAGGAAGAAGGGATCTGAACTTCTTGATCTTCTGTAACTGCTGATGAACAGCATGAATCTTCTGTTCCACCACAGCTTTGTCCTGTGCAATCTGTTGCAATATTTTTATTGTCCCCTCCTTGTGTTGTTCCAGGACAGTCTTTTCATGAATTAGGTCATCCGTAATTTTTTCATGTGATGTAAGTTTTTGTTGAATGCAAATTAGGGCTTGTTCAGCAAGATCGTGTTGCTTTATTATTAAAGAGTATTGATTTTTCATAAGAGCTCTAAAACACTGAGCAAAGTTTTCATAGGTTGCATTGGTGATCTTGCTATATGTGTTTTCTAGTGACTTGATATGGTTAGTGAGAGAAAGGTGCATTGATGATAGAAGATAGCACATATTTTCTTTGTCTTGCTTGGTCAGCATGCCTAAATCTTCAATATGATAATTTGCATGGTCTACTAGGATTTCCCTAAAAACACAAGTAAAGAAAGATACATTTAGTAAGAGTTTAAAAAAAAACCCACAGAGCATGCATAATACGTAGCTTAAACCCTTAAAAGGAAAATGTCTTTTTAGTAAACAAAATGTGTTTTTTGTAAAATTGTTTCAACTATTTAAATCCTGAGGCATGAAAAAATTGCACTTGGGAAATATTTTGAGAACATAAGGCCACACAAAATTAAAACCATTCCTTTAATCTAAATTACTTTAAACCAAGTTTCGATGCTATGAGATACCTATAATTACTTTGAAAAGTAAGGTGACCATACACAACCTGATCCCCGTCTGAATCTATCATTAACTACTAAAACTGGGAGAGGACCAAAGCATGTAGAACTTCTGTAATTGGCATCGGCATCCTAGCAATCAATGACACATCCCCAACCCCATTCAGCTGCCAGTCAGCAGATTCTCTCATTAGGGTAAGGGTCTGGTATAGATTTTGGGGTGGGGGGGGTCCCCATGCCATTTCTTTTAACAAGAAGGCAGGGAAATTTAATTTAATGGCAAATGTTTTTTTTCTCTTTGTAAATGTCACTTTTTCTGTAGTACCTTGAATACATCGTACAGGTGCACCACTTTACAGGTAGGTTTCAGACACCCCCAAGCATGTTATTTAAAGAAATTTAGCATTTGTATTTTTTCACTTTAAGCATTGCTAAAAGAGCTTCTTCTAGTTATTTTACCATTTTTTTTGCATTGGTACATGTCTTCCAGGACAGTGCTCAACTACCCTTTCCATTTGTTTGATTTTGGGGGGTCCCCGTGCTCTCAGAAAACAAGCCAGCAGCAAAATTGTTTTTTTTTTCTTTTTAAAAGTCGCTTTTTCTTGATCACATCCTAAAGGTGTACCACTTCACAGGTAGGTTTAGAGCATCCCGCCAAGCATGTTATTTAAAGGAACTCTGTACTATTATCACAATATCACATATCAATATCTCTGTACTATATATTATCACAATATCACAGTGTAGATTAAGATTAATAGAAATGCCCACTGGTGACTTCTTCCCATTAAATTCCTTACAAAGTGTCAAATGCTGTCTCCAAAATAGATTTTGCTAAAAGTTCTTTTTTTATTTTTTTTTAATATGATGAAAATGAGTGTATGTTTTGTGCAAACCAGCTAAAAAGTCATAGCCAAACTGCTGAAATATATATTTCCTATGAAAAAAATTTGAAACTCTAATCTGAACTTTTACACATAGCCAAGATCTATAAACTCTGATATCTCTAAAAAAAATGAGACTTTCACCATGAGCACTATACTTAATAGTTTGGTTGCAGGACGGTAGAATCCTAGCATATTACTGCACAGAAGGTCAGAGGGAAGCCTTCGGGCTTCCCAAATACAGCATACAAAAAAAGCACATAAGCTACAGCCTACAGGTGAAAATCCCACAATGGACACTGGAATCCTGGATGGCATGTGTTCAGTAGTATGTTAGCATTTCACAACACTGTGCTATTTTTGTCCATCAAAAGCAGAACAATCTACAGCCAATGTTGTTTACTGTGAGAATAGGTATCAGAATTATTTTATTACATTTATTTCTTCAGAAACAAGAGGAGCCAAAAGGAATGACAACACAAAATAATCCTAGTAAATCACTTGAATTGTTTTATGGTATCTATATTAACCCAGCGAATCATGTGACCTGAAGGAACATTTTACTTATTCATTATGGAGAAGATTGGCAGGTAACCAGGGCAACGCAGCTGCAGCTTCTACTGTGAATTTAATCTGTCTGTTTTCCCTAAGGATTCAGTCTGGTCGATGGGTTTTGGAAGCGAGGTCTTATTGAGAACGCATTGTGTATATTTTTCTTATTTCCCTCTGGCTATTCAATGAAATAAAAGTTTAAACCCGAACAATCAGTTTCTCTATGTTTAGAGAAAAAAAAACAAAGATCTTAGGAGACCATAAGCAGCAATTCCACTTGTTTAGGCATTGAAGCAGCTGATGAAATTTTATTTTGTATGACATGTTTTCCTTCTTCTAAAGTTGTATGTTTAGAATACATTTATGCAATATCTTTCTGCAGAACAACAGTTGTTGTTCGCATTCATAGACAGCCCATAATTTCTTATAAAAAATATAAATATTCACCCAGTGAGGAAATAAATGTATACAAAATGTTGCAGCATTTAATAAATTGTTTGATCTCCATTATGCAGGACACCTGTATATTGTTTTGTTGTTTACAGTTTGGAGTACTCCTGAATACATTTACAGGCAGCAAGTGGTAGCATTTGAATTTTTAAAATTGATCTGCGTTAGTTTTTTGTTTTTCTAGCAGCCAGAAAAAGGCCGGAAAAATATTTTTCCTCTATTTTTTCTTGATGATCCTGCCAATAACACACTTGCCCTAGGCTGACAATGCTCACTCACTGCTATATTGTAACTATGGAGGAGCAGCACCGTGGGAGAAATAGCATCCCATCAACCAAGGATGGGACCACAAAACACCCCCTCCCCACTTCTCCATAGCATGGGGAGCTATTTGCCGTTCTCAAAAGACAGCAGGGAACACTGGTAACAGCAGAGGCTGAGAGCCCAGGAACAGCTTACAAGATTTCTGTCAGAATCAACAGGTATGTTTGTACCTATTGAACACATATAGAAAATGTATTCATAACAATAATAATCATCACAGTATTTCATATTAAGGCTTAATTGTTCGTGCTCTTACACACAAATACACTATATTCCTAATACAGACTTTTTAAAGCTTTGTTTTTGCAGAATTACAAATCTAATTTGTCTTATGTTTTAGCTAAGGAGACACTCTAGGATTTTTGTCGACATTAGGGTCTGTGTTGACAGGTTTTAGGCTTGTGTCGATGGCATCAGTTTGACATCAGTTTTAGACACTTTTGAAATTATTCAGAGTTAATTGGCAAGTGCATTTGACTTGTAGCTGATCTCCTTCTTACCTGCATTTGAATATTTAAAGCCGGATTTGTATTCTTATAGACTTGTATTGGAATGCAAAACCTGCTTGCAGTAAACAAAAACATGCCAACACAGGCTCTTATGCATACAGTGTTCATTTTAAGTGGGTGGGCTGTAGCAAAAGTTCTGAGGGCAATAAATCTATCCTGTTAGACAGCTAAAAGAATGGTCCTTATTACAAAGAGGGGAATCTGACAAACATGATTACCCCTCTTGTAAATCTAGCTCTTCTAGACTGGAAACTTCACAGTTTAACTTGTTTCAACAGCTTTCCTTGTTGGGCCCCCTCATACCCCAAGCCCCATAGCAGCTGCATAAGTTGGTATGGTTATGTAACAGTTAGTTAGTTAGTTATACTTAATAAAGTGACCACTGAAGGTAAATCAAATGTGGTTTTATTTTCAAAGAAACAGCATGTGTCCTATAGTCAGGCATCAACCTTGTTACAGTATGTGTCTTGTTGCCAGGCATCTCCCCTGTTAGAACATTGATTGGGGGGATGCAAACTGCAGTTACAAAATGAGAACACCTGTGTATGTATAAGCTTCAGAGATTACTTACCTTGTCCACTGAGGGAGGTAATAAACGTTAAGTGCATTAAAGAGGGAGGGGAATTGTTGACACCATTTGTAGAATGTAGAACCTATGTCACTACAAATGAGAATCCAGCGAATGTTCTGCTGAACCGTCTGCAAAAACAGATTCCATGCACTCTCCTTTGAATATGTCAGCCCAGCATTGGTTACCTAAAAAAAAATGTCATGATCATGAGCATACTTGAGCTGGAAGACAAACCAATATAATGATCACCATTTCATTATATGTATTCTTTATTTATTCTATTAAGAGAAGAAAATATCATATATTTTGCTGCATGTTGAATGCGCTTATTGATGTTACATGAGCTAAGCCTAAACAGAATTGTGGATCCATAATTATCTGGGGTCATAGGGGGCAGCAGGAGTATGACCTGCGGACAAAAAAAGTAACATCCAAGCCTGCTCATGATGCCATTACAGTCAATACACACCACATACTAACAGCATTTTTATGACAAACTCTAAAAAGTCTTAACAAGATGTCGTTGTATATTCAGTGTAATTCAGATGGAAAAAGAAGGTGGACGGATGAAATATCTCTGTCAGTAGCAGGGTCAAATAAAAAGGAACACATCACTCTGGCAAAAGTACTTACAGGGCAGTCTGTTAAAGATGAATAAGAGCCTCTATTATACTAATGAACATTTCAGAATCTGAGCTTTCTTCTAAAATCGTTTTTTCCCCACACATCTACATGTTTATACTGTCACCAAATATACATGGCATATAATCTTATATTACAGACCTGTTTTATAATATTCCAAGACTTGTGTTTAAACAGAGGAATTAGGGTCAATAATATATTAATTTGTAAGTAAGTTTGTACATTTTAACATATACGTCAGAATTAAAATGTATATCAGTATATGGGTAATTATTTCTTAATGCAATCATAAAAAAACAGTTGCTTTGCCACCACCATACATCATGTTAAAACTTTGCTATGTTATAATAATAATAATAATATAAAACTACAACAACATACACATATTCATGAGCCCCATGTTATAATCATATACTCAATCTCTTTATTTTTTATTTAAAACTTGCTGCCTCTGTCTACAACTTCAAAAAAAAAGTGTCCTTTTAAAAGTAGGTGTGCAGAAAATTTTTGGAATCCACATTAACAAATTTACAATCTCATAGTAACACACAGACTTTTTAGACAGTCAGTATTGGGTATTAAAATAAACTATTTCTCTCATAATTATTGCTAATCTTAATTTAATTAATTGCATATAATGCATAAAACTATGACCAAGTTCCAATCACAGCTTCACACGTGACTGATGCGCTGTTCCCTGCTGTTAGTAAGTACTGCTTTGTTGAGAACTATAGTGATATCTTATATTAAGACACTGTTTACGAGAATGTTTCAGCTCTCTATCCATGCAGACATAGTTCTGGCACTAATGTAATTCAGCAGAGCCAAGAAGCAGTGGCACAGGAACTTTGGAGGTGAGTAACCATTGGAAACCAATAACCTATTAGTGAGCTCCCACTAACAACCAATAAAAGATGACATTCCCCACTGGCCATCAATGAAAGGGGGCATTCACCCTGACAACCAATGTAAGGGCACATTCACCACTGACCACCAGCAAAAGTTAGCATGCACCACTAACACCAAAAAAAGGAGACACTCACAACTGAAGACCAGCTTAAAGAAGCACTCATCACTGATCACCAACAAAAGGGACAAATCAATGTTGACCACTGTGCACAGTGTATACACCTAACATATCTCTGACTTCTGCACTTTGTAAGCTGTGCTGTACATTACATACTCCTGGCCTCTGCACTCTAAGTCCTGACCACAGTGCTCTGTAAGCTGTGATGTTTGTTACACACCTCTGACAACTGAAATCTGGAAGATGTGCTCCTCATACACCTGACCACTGCGCTCTGTAAACTATGTTCTACAGTACATTATTTTGACCACTGCACTCTGTAAACTGTGCTGTACATTATCTAGGTCTAACCCTTGCACTTTGTAAGCTGGGCTATACTTTATCTGACCCTAACTACTGCACTCTGTAACTTGTACTGTACTTTACATACTTAGTGATGTTTATCCTTTAAAGTGAGCGCACCCAACACAGATTCTGGCCATGGTCAATTTTTTAATGGAGAAGATTGGCCTAATGTTTTTTGGCCATAGTTCTCTTCAGGGTCACAGGAGGACGCAAAACTCAGTATATAGTAGGCTATTGCTGTTGAGATCCACCCCACCCCTAATACTGTTGAGATCCACCCCACTGGCTGATTGGCAGCTGGCTGTGCCTCTCTAGAAGCAGAGCCAGCTGTGCCAGCCCTCTCCCCATCTGTTCCTCCAGTCAGCACTAGAGAATGGAGAGGGGAGGGGGGAAACCCCTTTGGGGAGTGGTGACTGGCAGCCACCGCTCTCTGCAGGGAGAGGATCGGGAAGTCACCCATCGGCAGTATGTGTTTGCTGACTTCTGGATCAATGGAGCCGACCTGTGACGGCTTCAGTGTCACAGGTCGCCTTGAATTATGGGGATGAGTGTTTCTCACTTAACCCATAATTCTACTTTAACCTTGTCAAAGCACTCTAATTTTAATGTATGTCCTGCATATATGTCGTACTGTACAAATGTGTGCCTGACGATAATAAAGTTTGGACATACCTCACTTCTCATGGCATGGGCTATGGTTGCCTGTTGTTCCAGTGTAAATAGGTGAGATACTGATCCAAAGACAACAAATTCAGCAATGTACACCAGTGCTGTTGGATCAATGTCTTCTTCTGTGAGCAGAAGCATGGTTCGTTGACCCTAGAGACAAGGGGTTTACAGTAAGAATATAATGAACTAAAACAGAAAAAACATTACCCTTCATCACTTTTGCTTTACCTATGTAGACAGATCACATCATTGGTTGCTAGGATACAGGCGGGTGCACCCTAACAACTAATAATGCTGTGCAGGCCACATAGCATCATTTGTTGACTGCTGGCTGAGCAGCACAGCATCATTGGTTGCTAAGATGCATTCAGGAGCACCAAAGAAACCTATGAGGACATCTTAGCAACCAATGTGCAGGCTGCTAATGACAGTCGAGGACACACAGCATAATTGGTTGTCATGGTGCGTCTGTCTGCATTCTAGCCCTGAATGACACTGTGTGGCTCAGTAACTAGCTTTCTAAAAACCAATGACACTGTATGGGTCCCATAGAATTATTGGTTGCTAGAATACAAGTGGTCCTAGGATCGGTTTGCTTGGTCATTCACAGAAGCCTGATCTCTGGCTGGGTTCAGTTAAAGAAATCCAGGCACATACACAGGCACCAAATCCAGGAAATCACACATTTGTGTGTGTGATTTCCTTCCACTTTCTGTTCTAGGGACACAGCAGGAAGTAAGAGGAAATTTAACTTTTTGGGGTGCGGAAAAGAATCCAGAAGGGTAAAATGTGCAATTGGACTTTAAGGTGTTATTCAGTTTCTTTCATTTTAAAATTGTCCTTTAAATCTACTTAAAGTGTTAGGATTGGATTAAATGTCTGGGTAAGGAAAAAGGTTAAGTTTAAACATCAGGTTTTAGGTTTAGTGTTATGGTGATGATACGTGCTAAGGATAGGTGTAGGTCATAGTTGGAAGGCATGCATGCTTAGAAGGAATTCACATTTGTTTTCTGCACCAAAAATTGTGTGCCCCAATGTCTTAAACTGAGGTCACAATACTGAAAGCAAAAGTACTACCATCTGGTAATTGGGCCAGTAAGTTTATTTTTCAACTTCCTGACCAAACAGTCCAGAACAGAAGGGTTTTGGCAAACCTGGAATGTTTACAATGGTCAGCTTTATTAATTTATGTAAAACCAAAAAGGGAAAAATAAACTGTTGCTGTAACTGCTTAAAACATTTTAGCTGTAGCTTAGATGTATTTTGTAAGTCAAGTCCATTTAAATCTGCCAGTACTTCTAACACCATCCTCTCCACAGGGTGATAATGGGTGGTTCATTTGCATCATCATAGTGGAGAGCCACCCTGAGACAAAGTATGTCATTGGCTGGATCACCAGGTGAAAATAAAGAAAAAAAAGCTGGAAAAAGAAAACTACCACATTTAAAAAGCCACCATATTAAAGGACTGGCTGTTGTTCTTGGGCTTAGATACGCTTTTGTTGATATATTAAAGAATATATTTTATGGATAATATATGCTTTACGTCAGCTTTGCTCCCAGATCTCTCTGTAACTATACTGTTTGATAATTTACCATGAGTGGGCACACAGAAGTGGTTACTTTATTTTACTACCGTAGGTGGGCGGTGCTGTTGAACTGATAAATAATTAAAATGGCTTTTTTTATTAATCTTGATTTGGTACTTGGGCTTTTTTGGTTAGGGGTCTTTCCATAATTTATAGTACAGTGCATACATGTTGTAAATAAAATTTAAAACATAAATTGTGCCTTTTTCCACAATCTGCTTACTACCCATAGCAAGATGAAACTGCCATTGCCATGCAGTTCAGAACATAATTTCTGTAGTAGAAAATTCCTGGTGAGTGTGTTTGTTTTTATGAAATTTGGAGATTCAAGGGCGCTTACCTTCAGTCCAGCTTTAACATAGCAGTCAACCAGCTGTGATTTTAAATTTCTGGCTCGTTGCTCTTCATCTTCTATTTTCATATGTGACCCAAGCTGGATGACAACAAATCCAGAGAGGTGCGCAGCAAGTCGGGTTACTGTGCTGGTTGATCGTGGGCAGCCTTCTCCACATAGCAAGGTATGTGCACTCCCATGAGGGCTCCAGAGATTACGGGACAAGCGGCACACCAGATCAATGGTACTCTAAGGAGAGATGGACTAAATCAATGTCATTGAAACTTTTTACAGAACTTGGTGCTTGGAAGTGACACTAACGGTTAAATTAGATATTGCTTTATAGACTGTTTTATTTTTACTGTTGCCAAGGCATATGTGTCTTTTGTGTCAAATTTCTGCCTACATTTTACCTGTAAATCAACCTTATAAAACAAAATGGACCCTGAGCGTTTGGTTATGGCCTTATGTTCATAGTGGATCCAGTGAGCAGTTATATTTTCTTCTGTGGCAAACAATATCTCTGGAAACCTGTATGGTCCTCTCCTATCATAAGAGCCCAATAGGCTTAAAGTGACACAAAACACTAGAGTTAAATCTTAAAAATACATTCAAGTACTTTAACTATCAACAAAACTGCATCTTATTTGTGTATCACTCATGAATGGTGCTGACACTGTCCTTCGTTCTGGAGGGTGGCTACTTTTGTTCTCCATGGTCCCTGTGTGTGTTGTAAAGTAGCCACCACTCCAAGCTCACTCCTGTGATGGACTACAATCTTATGTTTAGTTTACTAATTTGTATCGTGATTATTGTCCATCATGGGAGTGAGCTTGGAGCAGTGGTTACTTTGCATCACACACAGGGACCATGGGGAACAAAAGTAGCCACTCTCCAGAAGGAAGGACAGTGCCATCACCAATTCAAATATGATTTGAGGATCTACAGAAGAGCGATATACAAATAAGCCAATATTTTATTAATAGTTAAGGTACTTGAATTCATTTTTAAGATATAACTCCTGAGTTTAGTGTCACTTTAAGTGCAGCCTGGAGAACACCATGTTAGAACTAGATGTGTCCCTGAGGTGTCTTTGTACTGTTTGAGGTTAACTGCTAAGTGAGGAACAAACTAGACAAACAGATGGTACAGACATTACAGAAAAGTCCTGTATTCAAATATCCTTGCATGTTTAAAGAGCACACAAAATTTCACTTCATGCCATACTGCAAATCAGACACCATAGGTTTTATTGAATACCATAATCCACAAAAAATACCATGCATAAACCATGAAAACTAAACAGATGCCAGTTTTTAAAAATGCAGCAGCGACAAAGTTGCAGTGGTTAGAACTGGGCAATTTACCAGGGTGCATGCTCTCTGATGCTCTCCCCAGTCTTACCCTGTGCAGCCACAGTGTTGTTGGGGATCTCTGTAGCCCAATGTAATCCTGAAAGAGTAGCAGTGTGTGCCATTGCTGGAATACCTGTGTTTCTGGGTGCAGGTTGGGTATACTGATGTTTGCTAAGTATACTACTGGAGTATATATGATGAGTGTATTTAAAGAACATTGTGAACTGTGCTAACTGTTTTGGATGTATATGAAGAGTATATTTGGGGTACATGGTGGACTGTGCTGATTGTATTGGAGTGTATGTACAGTATGTGATGAGAGCATTTTGTGTAAATGATGGTCTGTGCTGACTGAATTGTAGTGCATATTACTGAGAGTATTGAGGTGTATGGATGGGCATGCTGGCTATATCTTTGTTTATTTTGGTTGTATATGTTGGAGAGATAAGGAGGCATATGCTAAGTGCATTTGGGTGTATGGTGGGTGTGTCATGCATTTAAGAATTATTAGCGTATTTGGTTTAAATGGTGAGTCGTGGTAAATATATTAGGGTATATGTGATGTATTTGAGTTGTGCATGGGAAAGTGCTGGGTGTATTAGGGTGTATGGAATTGGTATGCCGAGTTCATTTGGGTGTATGGTGTGTGAGTCATATGGTTAACTGTAATAAGTGAATTCAGGGTTCATGGGGGGATGTGCTGAATGTATAGGGGTGTATGGCATGTGTATTTTGGGTGCATTCTAGAGTGTGCTGAATGTACTGTGGTGCATGTTGTGATGTGCTGAGTATAATGGGGTGTACAGTGAAATTTGGTGAGTGGATTGGGATGCATGCTCATTGTGCTGGGTGTATTTTGGTGCATAGTGGGTTGTTTGTTCCTTTAAAAGTTATAGTGGAGTGTGCTAAGTGTATTTGGGATTTGTCGTGGCTAAATGTATTTAGCGTGAATAATCTGGAGTGCTGAATGTATATGGAGTTCAAGATGTACTGTGTTTATCGTATTTAGGGTGCATTATGTTGTGTGCCGAGTGTATTTTCAGGTGCAGGACGTGGTGCGCTAAGTGTATCTGGGGTACATGCTGTGTTTTGCATGGTGTAAAGTGCTGAGTTCATGGTGTAAAGTGCTGAGTGTATTGTAGCAAATGGTTGTTGGTCCCAGGGGCGGAACTACCGCTGGTGCACCTGGGCCTGAGCCTGGGAGGGGCTCAGTAGACCCAGGCACAAGTCCAGTGGCAGGATAGGGCAAAAGAAGGTGGGGGCGCCGTCTGCCCGGCCGCCTGGCGGTGAGGAAACAGCCTGTAGAGAGCTGGGAAAGAGTCGGGAGGCGAAAAGTACATCATTGTACTACAGAGTAGCTGCAGGCACACTGTGAGGCAGTGCTGTGGCCTCAGCCGGGAGGACATAGCGAGCCACCAGAATACAGAGCCTGCTGCCTCTCCCTGCTGCATCTGTTCCCGCCGCGAGGACAGTCATTAAAGGTTACTGCTTTCATCTACTGTAAGTGCCTGAGTTCTGTGTGTTCTGTGACATGTTTGTAGTCCTATATAGCTGATGGAATTAATCTGCATTTCTGTAAAAAGTGTTGCTGGGAGTTGTAGTCCTCTATAGCCATTACCATTCTGCATTTCTGTATAAAGTGTTGCTGGGAGTTGTAGACATCTATAGTTGGTGCCATTCTGCATTTCTGAATAAAGCATTGCTGGGAGTTGTAGTCCTCTATAGCCATTACCATTCAGCATTTCTGTATAAAGTGTTGCTTGGAGTTGTAGTCCTCTATAGCCGTTACCATTCACCATTTCTGTATAAAGTATTGCTGGGAGTTGTAGTTCTCTATAGCTGGTGCCATGTTGCATTGCTGTATAAAATATTGGTTGTGGGGGGATGTGAGTGGAGGGTGGTTTTGTTATATATCAAGGGCATTTATTGTGCACTTATTTATTTATATTTTTATTACATTGTAAAATGTAATTAAATCATTACACAAGTCACCATAATGCAGAGTCGGTGGGAGCCCTGAGCTTGTTTTCCTGCTCTTAGATGGCCAGTGTGGGCTCTCAGATTGCCAGTGGGGCTCTCGGGTGGCTAGTTTGGGTTCTTAGGTGGCCAGTGCAGGCTTACAGGTGGCCAGTGCAGGCATTGTAGGAGCCGAGGGAGTCCCCCCTCAAAATCTTGCACCAGGGCCTATTGTTCCTTGGGTCACCACTGGTGGGCACTGACTGTATTAGGGAATACACTGAGTCGCCTGATTATTATGACCACCCCATCAGTACTTCGTTGGGCCACGAGATGACTTCGTTGGGCCGCCTCGTGACACCACGAGATGTTGAAAGGTGATGCGAGGAATCTGACACTGCACTGTTGCCCTTCTGTTGTCTTGTACCAGTCTTGCCACTCTCCGTTCTGCCCTAACATTGACTAGTCGCTGACCGCCACAATTCGCACGTTCAGACCCAGATTTTCGGTTGACAGTCCAGTCTTTAAACACTTTAACAACAGCTGCTCTTGAACATTTAACGAATTCTGCTGTTTTGCTGATAGTCGCTCCATGGCTCTGAGCACCAACAATCATCCCACTTTCAAAGGCTGTTAAATCGCGTTGTTTACCCATATCTTCAGAAAAAAATAACTTCTACTGTCGTGGTAAACAACCTGCTTCCCTATTTATAATGGTCTGGCCCCCTAGCAACTTCAGAGCGAAATTATAGCTAATTATAGCTAATTTGCCTACAAAAGTCAGGTGGTCATAATAATCTGGCCACTCAGTGTATGCTGTGGTATGCCAAATCTAATTGAATATAATGAGATACATGTTGCGATTTCTGAGTGTATTTGAAATACATACTGTAGTATGCTGAGTGTAACAAGCTGAAAGTTGCAGAGTGCTAAGGTGCTGAGTGTACTAGGGGTGCATTTTAGGGTATGCTGAGTGTATTAAAATTATTGGGCTGCCGTCTGGTTCTCGCCCCCCTTGTCTGCACAAATTCTACAGCTTGTTTCAAAGACTCCATTTTCCATAGCTAGTCTGAAGGGCCAGTCCACATAAATTATAAAGAGTAAAAATTCATACTTTGTGTCTTTCTGTGCAAATTATTACATTCCTAAGCACCACAATATGTTTACTTTTACTTGAAAAAGTGGAATTTCATACATATTGTATCTGCACAAATTGTTAATACAATGTTACTACAATGTTACAGATGCACTAACTGTTTTCACTGCTCCTTCACAGGTTATTAACTTGCAACAGTAGAACAACCATTGCTAACTTGGTATATTTAATAGTACAGGGTACATGTTACATTGTCTCAGGTTGTGAATACTGAAAATAGAAGGACATGGAGATGGGCTTAAGATAATAGACCCACTAGGGTCACAAGGCTAGGATACAAACATAACCCTAGACATATTTCTGAAAAACATAAGGCATATGACAGACATGCCTATGCATACAAACATGTTGCTGTTCCACTTAATTGAGCCTTAGATAAATAGAATCATAGAGAATAACATCTGTCTGCAGAGGAAACTACATTTCAACAAGTTAATTCATTCAACAAAGGATTTCTGCAAGGGAGATAGATCAATATGTCTGTTGCCTGAGTTAGCTATTCTTTTCAGCAAGCACACAATGATCCCTCAATAATGTATGATGCAGGAAATGAATGACAGGTGAACAAGTCACAGCAACTGACCTGATAAAATGTGATGTTCATTCTGGGATTCACTTTGTTGTATTCTCTCAGTGCCTCTGTTAGCAACTGCTTCACATGGACTGAATCAAACGTTTCCTGGTACCCATCTAGGATATGAGTGCTGCTGTTGCTGGCCTTCTCACTTCTCCTGAACAAATTCACGTCCTGCTGTCTGGCTACAGTAGAGATTAACCCACCTTCATCCTCAACAATATTACTGAATAGGGGCTGCTGAGGGCCCACAATAATCTGGACCTGTAAAAAAAAAAGCAGCAATGAGCTTCTTAAAGGATCATATAGTGTATTGCATATAGTGTATTTCTATAAGAAACATATTTTAAAGTAGAATTTTTTATGTGATTTGAACTTCTATATTTTTATTCTATTATGGGGATTTGTTGATTCAAGAATGGAGGAATCTCTGTATTTGACTCAGATGCAGTCTCTTTGCTTGAAGCGGAACTTCCATGGAAGCTATTTTAAAAAAGTGTGACTCCATCCGAAATGAGTTTTAGTTTTAAGTTTTTAAGTGTTTAAATCTTTATATGATATTTTGAGATGTACTGTATATGGCCGTAAATGGTGTCCCTCAGATCACTTCCAATAAATTATCAAGCTAATTACAGCTAAGAAAAAAATGTAAAAATCCTCAAAGTGGGATACAATTAGCAGTCAAGTACGATCTGAAATTTAAGGACCTGTGACACAGGACATTATCCCTTTTCAAAATAGATTTCGAACTTTTTTTAATGAAAGTGGAAAATAGGATATTTTACTTACCAGTAAAATCTATTTCTTTGAGTACAGTACAGGACACAGGCAGATTCAGAGATGACTGGGTTTCATCAGGTAATTGGACAGAACTGTGAGGATGCTCATACAACCCTACACACCCTCAAATATTCTCAGTTTTTTAGCAAGCAATAGAGGGCAGCGAGTGGAGGGTCCTGTGTCTTGTACTGCACTGGAAATAAACAGTTTTTACTAATAAATTAAAAAAACTATTTTCTTGATCGTACAGTACAGGACACAGACAGGTTTGTGAGAAACAACCAGGACCTAAGCAAAAACAATATAGCCGAGAGGTGGGTATCGCAGCAAACAACCACCAACGGGTCCACAAAATCAAGGGGAAAACCCCAACTCAGAGGGCAGCCTGTAACACCTTATAGTGAAAACTAGCCTCAGCAAAAGCCTAAACATCCACCTGGTACCACTTATATAAACTAATATGCAGAGCAGATGCTTGATGCCAAAAGCACAAGAGGCACTGACACATAGTTACATAGTTACATAGTATTTGAGGTTGAATAAAGACATTAGTCCATCAAGTCCAACCTATTAGGATCTCATTCTAGGAGTACCTGTATCCCTGTATATTGCGGTCCCTTAAGAAATCGTCCAAACGTTTCTTGTGGAAACTTGTGGAAGTGCACTCTACATATAGTAGAGTGCACTTCCACAGGAAAAGGCAGATCCTGAACCTAGTAGAATGGGCATGCGTCATGACCTGTAGAATCCACCGAAAAATGGTGGCACGGGATACAGGGATGTAGATTGCCAGAAAGAAACCATATCTGAGAGAGAGGTAAACCTGCATGGATGTTTCAGAGCAGGACAAAAATGTAAGGGCAATGGCCTGATTAACATGAAATGAGGACACCACCTTAGCCAGAAAGAAAACACTAGGCCCAAGAGCAACCTTGTCCTTCTGAAGCGAAAATTATGTTAAAAAAATCTTCTACAGGGGAACAACATTTAAATGCGGGTAAGACACTTAGATATGCATTAGAAAATGAATGCACATAGACAAATTGACATGCAGGCATTCTAAAACAATACATAATGAATTGGTTATGTATAAAACCATCAACTAGCATGGTGATGTCATTTTGTCATGAGCAAAGACCACAGCAACTGTTAGTAGTGTTGTCCCGTTTACTAAGTTGACTGGTTTAGAACACACAAAGTAATGTGGGATACAATGCATTTAAATGAACTTCTAAGAACAATAGTATTTTTTAAGAAGTATAGAGGCTTGTTAACAAGTAACCCACCATAGAACCTTTTGTCCTCCACACAAATGACTCAACCATTACATATACCATCAGTAGGCAAACTTGGCACCCCAGCTGTGATGTAACTACAAGACTCTGACAGCCACAGACATGAGTGCCAGAGGCAGAGACATGATGGTATTAGTAGTTTCAACGCAGCTGGAGTGCTAAGGTTGGATACACGTGACATATAGACATCAAACAATTTTCCTGATATGCCTAAATCCTCTAGTGAGTATTAAATATGTATTACATTTGTTTTTTTACCTTATATGTTTCCAGAGTGTTTTACATAGGGAGACTTCAGCACTGTTATCCAACTAGTTTAAAATGCTTTCTCTCAAGGTACCAATTAGATTCCAATGGATATTACAACCTTTCTATCACATATTATATTTACTATTTTTTTTCAGCATCTGATTGTTTAATTATTAAAGAATGAACAATCAGATGTTGAATGCCAATATAAAAAAAAATGTAATTTAAATGCCACCGTTATTTTATTAAATCATACAACTTTCAAAGCATCAGTGATAGCATAATGGTATATATTGCTTTACCTCTTCTTCATTCATTAACTCTTTCTGAGAGGCTATAGTTAGTTCCTGTACATATCGGTTATAATCTACTGCACTGGACATTCTATGCCCATACACCCAATTACATTCATGTCTCCAAAGCCTCAGAAACTTGTCGGCTGTGGTCCTTCCATCCAGAGACAGACAGATATTCCTGTAAATTAAACAGTTATCTGTTGAATAACAAGAAATATGTACATTTTGTGTAATAGTGAGTTATTCTGCAAAAAAAACCCCACTATTTTCCTAAAATATTATAACCTGCAAATAAATGTACAACTGCTTACAGACTTGACCAGGTCATTACATATTATTGTACTTGGCAAGGTCTCTATCATCTCTATCTATATACAGCTAATCATCTAGTATAAGTGTTTGCTTAAATATCTTACTTGCTCTTAAAGCGGACCCCTTTCACTTAAAATCTCATCTGCATGCTGTTATAAAGTTATTACACTCATTAGATTTTGCTTTTACTCAATTTCCTGATTGATTAAGGTACTTGTAATGTATCCCTGGCCTCACAGATGCATCCTGGGAAGGCTACATCACCAGTGCCTCCCTGGGAAATCTCATCTGTAAACTGCAAAATCTCATGAGATCTTGAGGGAAATACATTTTTACACCTCAGATGATATACAGAAGAATAGGGAAGAAAAGGAAAATAAATTATGCAAAGAATAAAAAAAAACTGCAATTATCTATAAGTATCTGTTTGTAGATTACTATTACTAAACAATTATAAAGGTGCATTTGTTGTCATTTTTAAGATGAGGGTGATATTCCTCTTTAAGGTATTAGATAATTCTACTATAGTCACACTATAGCATTTGTTGTCATTTTTAAGATGAGGGTGATATTCCTCTTTAAGGTATTAGATAATTCTACTATAGTCACACAGGTGTGTTTTGACAGTTTTTGCCCTAAAGTGCACTTGTACCCAAGCTATGGACAATAAAGTATTTACACATTCTTTACAGTAATTATTATACAGGATTTATATAGAACTAAAAGTTTGTGTAGTGCTTTACAAAGTAAAGGAAGACAGTACTGTACACTTACAATAAAAATCAAAACATGAGGATCAGGAGGGCCTTGCTCATGAGAGCTTACAATCTAAAAGGAAAGGGAGTGATACAAAAGGTAATAACTGTGAGGGATGAGCTGATAAAGAAAGTAGAGGTACAGATTTTAGGTTACAATTTCAGGGATCTCATTTAAATGCGGGCAGAGTAGGAGATAGCTGGAAAGACTGGGGAAGGCAGTTATAGAGGAAGGGTGAGGCTCTGGAAAAGTCCTGAAGGCAAGTATGGAAAGAGCAAGTGGAGGTTTGGATGATATTTTGAGATGAGGTTGATGATGTATCAGGGGGCAGAGTTGCAATTGCTTTACATGTTGTTAGTATTTTATTTTTATATGTTGTGCTAGCATAAGCCAGTGGAGAAAGTGCCAGATGGGGTGGTGGCCACTGAATGGTTAGTGAGGTGCCTGAGCCTAGCAGCAGCATTTATGATAGACTGAAGGGGGAATAGTATGTGTAGAGGTAGGCCAAAAGAGAAAGGAGTTGCAATAGTTGAGGCAAGAGATAACCAGGGAGTGAATTAGTAGCTTTGTGGTGTCATTCCTTCAAAAGGGACGTATTTTGAATATGTTACGGAGGTTAAGATGGCAGGATTTGGACAGTATTTGGACATAAGGCCTGTAGAGGAAAATAAAGTGCAGTTATCCTTTTTGCCCTTTCACCTCACATCTCCCCATCTTCAGATGCACACTCACCTCGATACAATGTCCGCAGCCTTCAATGTTTGTTTACATCGTGCTGTAAGTCTTCATTGTCCTGTGGAGAGGCTCAGAGGCTCCAGGCTGGATAGGCACAGGACCCAGCCCTGTAGAAGTCTATGGATATGTGCTGTGCAAGGGTGACCAGGACATTGAAGACTTGGGGCATGGAATGTAAACAAACACAGGAGTGCGCAGCCATCAGATTGAGGTAAGTATGCATCTGGGGAGGGGAAAAGTGGGCTAGGTTTGGTCAGGAAACCTGGGGAGTAAAAAGTGCAATAAAAAACAAAGCACCTGTTCTTTGCTTTTTTTGGAAGGTTGGCAGGAAACCAAAACCAAAATAAAAGGAAAGGAGATGCTATTTTATTGCCTCCATTATGAACTTTGAAGATGAACTACTTCGCAACGCCTGCAGCTACAGAGGTCGGTAAAGGGTAAAGTCTTTAGGCTGCATTTACACTGTTGCGAGCACAGCATGACAACATACATAGTGCATGTTTATGTATGTTGCTGTAACGTGCATGGTAAATTACATTATTGTAATGCAACAGTGTAAACCTAGCCTAAATATCAATTTTCTTTGCACAAGAACACTTTAAAATTAGAACATTTCTTGGCTTGTGTCATCCAGTTTTTATTGGCATCCCTAATACCCCACTTTGTCACAAGTGTTGTGAGTCATTGACCTATTTTACAGCTTTTGTTTGCAATCTTCCTAGCAATTATCAGCACCTTCCCATAGATAAACTCCCCATCATAATTTTTAAGGACCCTGTGCTTTAATGCTTTGTTTTTATAATTGCTCTTATTATCTTGAGCTTCCAGCTCTTTATACTCATTTACATTTTAGTAACTTGTAAATAATCTTCATAAATTATAATGTTTCTAGAGCCTCATAAATTTTCTTATTGTGTTATTGTTCAATGGAACCCTAGAGGAACCATTAAACAACAATTTATGCCTAGTAAACTAAGTAATAATGTTTTATTTTCACAACGCAAATAGTAGGTTACAATGCCAGTGATGTTTTCTTTCCTCAGCAGGATCTAATCCTGTGAATGTATCAAGACAATACAAGCCTGTACCAAAATCTTATTTTAGTAGCGAAGTTATCACTTGTAATCCTCGACTAGTAAGGGCCTTTAGAATTTCATTTGTGGTGTCCAGTCAGATTAAACATCTGATCTGAAAACACAAAACAAATCTAATACTGTATATTGCAGCTTGCCAGTCTTCAGATGTGGAGGCTACATTCTTTTTTTAAGCCTTTTTCCTTTATCTTCACCTACTGATTCTGCCAGTGACACTCTTCCTGTCCTAATGCTCTCTCACTGACAGCAATGCTATGGGTTACTATTGCATCCACTGACAACTTTGCGGCCACTGACCACAAAAATGGGGCTTATTTTACTCTTCAGTGTGCATGGCAGTACATTGCAAAAACTGCAGCAGGGCCATATTTTTTTGGCATTTAGGTGTGTTACAGTCCATTAATTTTGAAGTATGCATAACTTGATGCAATGACCTATGGAAGGTGCGCTCAAAGCCCTCTAATATGTTTAAGTTTACCCCAAGTGATTTAGACAGTATTTGCTCATTCCAGAGTTCAGTTTAAAGAAAGCAAAACGGGGAAGCTTATGACAAGTTAAAGTAGAAGGAAGCCAAACTGCTTTTATTTTAGTTTTGGATAGAGTAAGGGAGGGTTATAACTCCTGTCAGCTTTTTTGACATCTTTGTCCCATTGGGGAGATTTTCCTTCACTTTCTGTTCAATACCCACAACAGGATGTGAAAAGAAATCCCTCTAAATTGAGTGATATCCCTGGTGGTCAACAGGGTCGCCATTGGAAGATTTCCCATCTGTTCCTGTTCTGCTAACAACCGAAAATGTGTGCTTTTCTTTTACTTTCAATTATAATAGTCCCTAGGACAAATAGAGTTGATTCATCTTCCTAACGTAGAACAGAGAGCAATGAATAGCTGATGGGTGTTCTAATCACTCTCCACTCTATCCACAACTAAAAAAAAAGTTTACTTCAGTTGCACTTTAAGGAAATTTCGTTTTTTTCCTGGTTCATTGAAGTTTGATTCAGAGGCCCTATTTTTTTCAAATTAGCACATACAGTATGTCTAGCTGTTAAAGGCATAGAGGCACCTAATAAAAGGCCGTCTCCCACAGAAAGCTCCTTACTGTTGTTTTATTATGGCAATTTAAATAACACCAACTGCACTGTTCTCAACAAGGTACTCCTTTCCTACAACACATTTTAAGCCAGATTTCTAAGCTAGTTAAGCAAATATAATCATAACTGAATATACGTTTTTCTCAGCTCCTGCAAAGAGCTTTCTCAAAATGCTTATCATGTGATATTAGTAAAGCAAAAATATTACAGAGAAATAAAACCCATTAAGAAGTTACTGAAATTATGTCATGAAAATATATCTGAGCTCATCATTTGCACAGAAAAAGCTGAGTGCATTAAAATGGTACAAGGACATTTTGGACAGGCATAGACTAACACGGGCAGCAATTGCAGGATTATGTCAAAATCCTTGTGATTGATCATCATGCTGAAATTCAGAACAGAATAAGATAGACAAGCTAGAGTCAGCCTTTTCTAGTAATTGTCACACATAGCCACAGGACTGACTTTCTTACTCAGGGATGTTGGCAAGACTTAACTTTAGGTATTACTTGACATGTCAAAGTAGTGCAAGTTTAAACAGCTTTTACAAGTGGTACAAAGTGCTGACCAAGCAATAACTGTTGTTATTGTCTAATTGGTCTTTCAAGTCAAACTGAGCAACACATGTAGCATCTTTCCATTTCTATTACCTGAATATTTTTGCAAGATCACGAAGTGTAAATATGTAGTGACAGCGCTGAGATGTCCCCAAAAAGACAGTCCGCAGTCTCTTGTGTAGTTCAATTGAAACTTTAGTGATTTCTGCAATTAATCCCTTTAGATGCTCAGCAGGCATATAACCTGAACTGCCACCCTGAAATCATAAATCAATTAATCAGTAAAAGGACTGTTGATCCTCAAAATAACATGCACTTGCTGAAACGTTCTGGTTCCTATAAAGGACTCTTACATAAAACAAAGAGAAACATTTGGTTAGGCACACAACATACTCAGTTCACAGAGGAAACAAGGTAAAAAATTGTGTCTTCATTTTTTGTCTAGCAAAACAAACGACACTATAACGCACTATAAGAGGTGCCTTGGCGCGGCAGTGCGGCTTTCACATCCTCTGCAGAAGACGTGTATCCAAACCTCTGTCATTATCCTTAGTGGTGAGACATGTTGTTTTACATGCTGGTTTATGAGTGTGCCATGATGCCTTTCTGCTTTTTTACTGTTCAAAGCCCATTCCGTGTGCACCTTACTGTATAACTGGTAACAAATTGTTGAGTGCGTTTGTCGTTTGTTTTGCTTGACCGATTGGGTGCAGCGACGCATGGGGTTTCTCAGCTGCCATTAGGATGTGCGGGATCCCTTGTGTGTTTCTGTGCCTTTAAGGAGGTTGGGCGTCCTCCTGATAAACCTGCACCCAATTTGATATCTTCTGCCCCCATGTGCTCCAAGATGGAGACTCTCATAGTTTAGAGTTAGGACCGCACTATAAGAGGTGCCTTGGCGCGGCAGTGCGGCTTTCACATCCTCTGCAGAAGACGTGTATCCAAACCTCTGTCATTATCCTTAGTGGTGAGACATGTTGTTTTACATGCTGGTTTGTGAGTGTGCCATGATGCCTTTCTGCTGTTTTAATTTTTTGTCTCTCCTCCGCTATCCATAGTTTGGCCCCATATATTTTATTGGGCAGTTAAACTGATAGTAGCTTGTCCGTCTACCAGACTCATAGAAATGTATGAGGCTGAACTGCACATGTGCAGGCATCAGATCAAAAAGCTGTGACCCTGTCACCACAAAGTATGCCCTCCTCCCTGCCCACCACCTACCCCCTGGACTCTATTCCCTCACCACTACTCTAGTCACCCTCTTGCTCTATCCTACACTTTTACTCACACTTTCAATCTTCCCTCTCTATGGGCATCTTTCCCTCCCCTCTAAAACATGCACTGGTCACCGCAATACCTCAAAAACCCTCATTGGACCCCACCAACCTTAACAATCTCAGACCAATCTCCTTAATCCCATTCATCTCCAAACTCCTAGAACGCCTCATCTACAACTGCCTCCCACTACCTCACTCTTAACAACCTCCTCGACCCCTTACAGCTTGACCTTTGCCCCAACACTCCACTGAAACCAACCTGCTATAACTCACTAACGACTTACTAACTGCTAAAAGCAATGGCCAATACTCCTTACTCTTGCTATTAGACCTTTCTGCTGCATTTGACACAGTTGACCACCTGCTGCTCCTCAAAAAACTCCACTTTCTTGGCCTACAAGACTCTGCTCTCTCATGGTTCTCTTCCTACCTATCTAAGCGCTCCTTTAGTGTCACCTACAAATCTAACTCCTCTCCCTCTTTCTGTAGGGGTCCCCCAAGGCTCTGTCCTTGGACCCCTTCCCTTCTCTCTACACCTCCTTCCTTGGTCAGTTGATAACCTCACATGGCTTCCAATACCATCTCTATGCAGATGACACTCAAATATATCTTTCCACTCCACAACTCACCCCCTCAGTCTCCTTGCGTATCACTGATTTACTAATTGACATCAGTCTGGAGGTCGCAACACTTCTTAAAACTCAGTCTTTCAAAAACTGAGCTCATGATATTTCCTCCTGCCTGTGCACTGTCCCCCAACTTTTCCATTGAGATTGACAACACAACTATCCATCCCTCCCCCATGTCAAGGTGCTAGGTGTCATTCTTGACTTGGACCTCACCTTTCTGTCCCACATCCAATCACTATGTAAATCCTGCCATTTTCACCTTTGTAACATCTCCAAAATATGCCCCTTCCTCACCAATGAAACCATAAAGCTACTTATCCACTTACTTGTTTCTCTCGTCTTGAACATTGTAACTCCCTTCTCAATGGCCTACCTCTACACAGGCTATCCCCCAGTCTATCATGAGTACTTCTGCTAAACACATCCATCTAACCAACCGCACGGTCTCTGCAACCCCCCTCTTTCAATCCCTCTACTGGCTTCCAGTCCTCCAAAAGGATACAATTTTAAATATTAGAAAACACTTACAAAGCCATTCACAACTCTGCCCCTTGCTATATCTCCAACCTCGTCTCAAAGTATCACCCTAACCGTCCCTCCGCTCTTCCAAAGACCTCCTGCTCTCTAGCTCCCTCCTCAACTTCTCCCATGCTCAACTCCAGGACTTCTCTAGAGTATCTCCCATCCTCTGCAATTCCTTACCCCAACCTGTCCATCTATCTCATACTCTGACTTCCTTTAGGTGATCCCTAAAGACTCATCTCTTCAGGGAAGACTATCCCGCCTCAAACTAACCACTGAACTATCACTTTGTCAAACAATTCACCACCACACAGCTACCTCCTCATGTATTACTAGCCCCTCCAATTTAGATTGTAATCTCTCACGGGCAGGGCCCTCCTTACCATCTTGTCTTGAATTGTCTTGTAATTGTAATGTCTTCCTTATAATGTAAAGTGCTGCGCAAACTAGCGCTATATAAACCCTCTATAATAATAATGCCATGGGCCTTGAGACAAAACATAGGAAAGTATAGCAATGGGAGGGGGCTACACCTGCTTAGGGAGGTGGGGCAGGTTTTAGAGGTTAGGTTGAGATTAGGGGTTAGGTTAAAGGGTTAGATTTAGAGATTGGGCTCAGGTGAGGCTTACTTTATGGGTTGTGTTGAAATAAAGGGACAGGTTAGACTAGGATTATCACAATTACATAAAGTGTCTCTAAAACAAAAATGAAATATATTGCAGATTACCAGTGCTTAGATGTGGTGGCTTAAATAGAAATGTGATTTAATGCAACTTACCAGTCCTCAGATGTGATGGCTTAATTAGTTGTATTTTTTAAGCTTTATTCCATTCCATTCCATTTCCTGCTAATAACACTCTTCCTGTCCCTGAGTGGCTATGCTCACTTCTCCACTGTATCTATGGATGGAGCCATGATTACCACCCAGGCTGTGCTTTAAACATGTTTGCCTTTGTTTATCTCCATAACATGTCGGCTAATGGTATTAGTAGCTTGAACAAGAAAGGTAACATTGTTTGTGTTTCCAGTTCATCTCACAGGAAGTGACAAGGGCACTGCATTTCTGCCAAGATCAAGAGCTATTTTATGTACTTGCTAAATATATGCTGAAAAAGTATTGTAGCCACTGCATCTAGGGACTGATAAGCTGGAATATATTACATTTTTTCTTGGATTTCACCAGTTACTGATGTCACAATTTAATATACAAAAATTGTTTTGAAATGCTTTGAAACACTTTGAAATGACTATACCCAAAATAACCACACCACTTTTAAAATGATAAAAACGAATGTATTGTGAACAAAACATTTTGAAATTACATGAGCTTTATGCATTACAAAATATAATGGTTGTTCAATACAAACACTATGGTATTAAAGCAGACCTACTACAAAGGTGGGCAACTTCGGCACTCAGGCTGTTGTGGAATTACAAGATTTTGCAAGACATTGCAGGACTGACAGTCAGTCATAACAGGCATAACTCTAGAGACAGAGTCATGATGAGATTTGTTTCACCACAGCTGGAGTGCCGAGGTTGCCTACCACTGCCCTACTCACTATTAATGTTCACGTAGATCAGCTGCAGCAGAGAAATGACCAATCCCAAGGGATTTGAATAACTAAAGTCCATCTATGATAATATACTGTATAAAGTCCAAATGAGCTCCATTAGAATGGTTGTTGGTACTGGGTTACTCAGAGTAGTGATGCTGTAGACAAAATCAGTGAACTCTCAGAATGAGGGCAGATTCTGTGTCAGAGTAACATATCCCATTTTCACTGCACAGTTAGAATGTGTTTATGTGAAAACGTTTGTAACTAACAATCCTTTCAACCACAATAATAATTAATATCCTCACAAATAAAAGCAGTGTCCGAGTCCAAGCTGTACTGCTTACCCACTGTGGAGGTTCCAGATATGTGTATGTTGCCTGCCATACACACCGATAGTGCAAGACTGACTGAACAGAATTAAAAAAACTTCTGGCAGTTAGACAGCTCACATATATGTAATTTAACTGTTTACATACATGCTTGACTGCAGTTCAGCTTAAAGTGTATTTCCATTTTGGCAGCCAAATTGGAATAGCACCTATTTTATATGTTACATGCTCTCATTTACAATGTGTATATTAGATAAAACATTGCTGCCTACATATGATTTGTTTTCTCTAAACTTGATTTCCCTCTTGAATGCAAAGGGACTGAGGAGGTAACCAGATTTGAACACTGTCTGTCCTAACAAAGGGTTAAGGATCTAGCAGCATTGTATGTTAATGAGAGGAAACTGAGAGTGTCCCTAATCTTTCTATTAGGACAGCCAGAGTTTCCTGTCACTTTGAAAGCATAGAGAAAAGACTGCAGTATGTCCAAAGGCCAATCTTTTTAGGTATACTGTGTGAAAAGGAACACATAAACATATAGTGGACTTTTCTCAAATGTGACTGGAAAAGTGGAAATTCACTTTAACAACATTGCTATAGTAACTTTAGAACCTTGTGAGAGGTATGATTTATTGAGTTACATTGGTAAAAATGCAGAAAATGCACAAAATTGATACTGCAGGTAGGTTGATAGAAAGACTGGCAGATATTTAGATATTGCATACTGCAGCAATTAGTGTATTAGAAACAAACACAAAACCACAAAGCAGATTGACTGCCTTGACATTTTTATGTAAAAGTACATTCATTTGCTTGATGTATAGACATTAAATCCTATCCTTTGAAAGATGTTTTGTGTGAATGGAATCCTAAATATGTCACTAGATTTTAGAGCCACTTGTATAGCACTGCAGTTACTTCATTATGACAGACCATTAACTAATAAGTGGTACGCTACAAGCTTACAATGAGCACACAATTAGCTGAGCTGCTAAAATAGTGCCCATTTGCCTTAACATCCCGCTAATAAAGGAGAGAAGACAGGTACCTTGTGTTCCGTCACCCCTGGCACAAAGTGAGCATTCAGTATACTGCTGAATATTCCAAACTGTTCATTTTGACTGCAATTAAAAAAAAAAGCATAAAAACAAATCAATCCACTTGTATAGCAATATCCAAATATATACATATTATATTTCACTCCAAATGCATCAAAACAGAGTGTGAAAAGCCTAGCCAAAAATAAAACAAAACTGATACATCCTTCCTGACTTTCTTTGTTGCTTCACATTTTTGGTGGTGTCATACATAACAATCTATACCGACTGTTGCACACACTATTACAGTCTTTCTATGGCCATATGATGCGCAGGGATCACCAACAGTAGGTGGAAAATCTAGACAGGCTGTGATTGGAAGGCTGGTAGAGAACAGTCTTTTATAAACAAAAAATGGCAGTTGTTTATGAAACACATCAAGCTTTAGCAAACAAAATCTTCTCTTGTTAGGCCTCATGTACATGGGCTTCTGAGGATTCCTGTGACGAGAGAATGGAGATTCTTGTGGAAAGAATCCCAGATGTGTCCGCACAGATGTGGCCGCTGTGCCCGTTCAACCTAATGACAGCCTGACAGCAGACACATCTGTCCGGTACATGGTACGATTATCTGCAGATCGGGAGAGATGCTTGTCCCGGGACCTAATCTCCAAGCCTCCTGGGAAAAGCATCTCTCGCAATCCACAGATAATTTTACCATGTACGATTACATGCGGACAACCACATCTTTACAGGCCCACCTGGTATTCCTGGCACGAGAATCCACAGGTTCTTGCTATATTTTCTTTGACCAGTGTTTACAGAAAAAACTTAACTAATTTCAACAACCCTTAGCTCATTTGTTATAGCTTATTACACTTAAGGGCATATGCATACAAGATGTACTGAGATATTCCCCCCGATCAGTTTCACCCTAGTTTTAAATCATATTTTCTTCATATTTACTGGTCAAACAAAATTCCCCGACATTTTTTTTAATGACAAAAGGAGGTAGGACCCACTTTGGGACATAATTCAATTCCACTGGATACTGTTAAATTAAAGGCAGTAAACCAAATTTTAACAAATTTGAGGGTGTTCCTGTTAATTTACCCCTTTGCCTGTTGCTGTTATTTTATCCCTTTGCCTGACTACACACATGGTGAACGGGTTATAAGTGTAAAACCAATTTTCCAGGAATGAGGTGAACACCTTTTTAGCCCCTCATGAAGGGTGACTAGATGGCATATCTCTATGGTAAACTTGGGGTGCCAGAGAGACTAGCACCATCAATTGTTTTGGTTGTTTTTATATAAAATATGTTATATGGCTTCCTTTATTGAATTATAATATTTGAATGCTAAATGGAAAGTTGGTATTAAAACCGTTTCTTTTATTAGCTATTATATTAGCTATAATGTTGATCATGACAAAGGACCACAAAACAATTTACAATGGCAAAAATGCCACACACAATTACAAAGGAGAATATTCTTTATTCATAGATAAATAACAAACCTTGGATATTTGCAGTGAAAGATGCAAAAATGTCTGAGCAAACGTTGCCGCTGGGCTAGGGAGATCTCGGGTGCTGCTGTATTCCATGTTGCCAGATATATGATGCCCTTGATAGTTTTCCAATTCAAAGAGAGAGGATCAAATATTCTTTCTTGATCAAGTAGCTGTCGTATAAACTCGCAGGCTGGCTGACTTCCACGTTTATTGGTCTAAAAACCGAAATAAATTTTATTACATGAGTTGGGGTTTTATGATTCTCTTCACTCCTTTAAGCATATCCAATAGGAAAGCCCAAATATACAACGAAATGCAAATACAGCAAAATCACAAAATCATTCAGGTTTTAACTTACTGCATTCACGTTTTTAAGGAGATGACTTTTGTCTGGTTGCCATGAGTTGCTGCATTTTGTACTTTACAACAGGTCTTTGCAATGCCTTACTGAACAATCTTGCTAGTGTCAGCAATTTACTTCCATCTTTACTACACCTTTAATGTTTATTCTATTTCAAAAATGGGAAGTATTGTGCAGCAAAAGTATGTATCATTTAATGTTTTTTTATCCACATGAATGTTTACTATGTTTTATTACAAACAAAAGAGATGCAAAGTAAATGTGTGGCTTTACACTGTGCATACCTCTGGTTTATAGTCCCTCCCTCCTCTTCATCTACAGAACCTTCTGCAAATACTGACTTTTTATGAGCCAGTATTATAAACATTAAGCACAGTTGGATGCAGGCTGAGGACATACCTATACCCTTACAATCAAAAAGTGTCTGATACCTGAGGAGATTTGTTGGACACAACAGAGGGATGGAAACTACAATTGACAGTATATACAGGCACATTTCTAGTTTTGTGCAAAGGTCAATGTAAAATGAATTAGAAAACATCAAAAAACAAAGTTTGAGCAAAACTGTTGTTCAAACAAAAGATTAAACATTGGTTGAAGTCTGAGCAAAGAAAGATGAAATCCGCAGTAAAATAACTTGAACTTTCCCTTTTGTTGTTGTAATCCTACTTTTAATAAAAGAATATGAACCCCACTAACACAAATCTATAGATCAAAGACCAGGAAATGTAAACAACCAGATGAGGAGGACAGAAAAGGGAGTGAAAAAATAATTTTCCAAATTAAGAGAGCAGAAAAGGGTCAGAACCAAGAGTTTGTCAGATGAGGGAAGCAGAGAAATATCTAAAGCAAGCATTTACAAAATGAGTGAAGAGGAAAAGGGTCTGAACCAAGAGTTAGCCAGATGAGGGAAACAGAATAGGGTCTGAACCAAGAGTTTGCCGGGTGAGAGAAACAGAATAGGGTCTGAATCAAGAGTTCATCAGATGAGGGCAGCAAAAAAGGGTCTGATCCAAGAGTTTGCCAGGTGAGGGAAGCAGAAGGGGGCCTAAAGCAAGTACTTGCCAAATGCAGGGAAAAGAATAGGGTCTGTACCATGAGTTTACCAGATGAGGGTGACAGAAAAGGGTCTGAAATATTACCCTTACTAACACAAAACCATAAATAGATCTATGAATGCACAGCAGTTCCATGCGAGATGTTAGTACAACATCTGCATTTAGACATCTTAAAGAGATATTTCACTGGAAATGGAAAACAATCAGCAAATGTAAACCAGACAAACAACCAGATGAGGGCAGAAAATTGAGTCCAAAGCAAGCACTTGCAAGATGAAAAGGGTCTGAATCAGGAGTTTGCCAGATGAGGGAAGCAGAATAGGGTCTAAAGTAAGTGGTTGCCAACTGAGCAGAGCAGAAAAGCGTCTGAACCAAGAGTTCGCCAGATAAGGGAAGCAGAGTAAGATCTAAAGTAAGTGTTTGCCAGGTGAGGGGAGCAGGACAGAGTCTGAATCAAGAGCTCACTAAATGAGGGTGGCAAAAAAGGGTCTGCCATAAGTCTGACAGATGAGGAAAGCAGAAAAGGATATAAAGCAAGAGGCTGTGTAATAAACTTACCTGGCCACGCTCCATGTACAACATCCAGTGCCGCCCACTCCACCGGTGTCACGCTCTTCCTCCTCCTTCAGCTGGCTCCTAGATTTAACCACGGGTTTTGAATTGCTCAGGGTCTTGTTGTTGTTGTGACGCTGAGCACTCACCCACTCTGTGCAACCCCTCGCTCAATCCTGAAATCTCTATTTGTGGATTCAACATCAGACCCACACCATCCTGAACTCTGTCAGCAAGCTTGCCTGTCTTTAGCTTGGCTGTGCTAATGATTCACTCCTGTGTCCTCTCCATACTGGACTCTGTTGGGATTCAACTGCAGCATACTCCTTGCCGACCTGGAGCTGCTACAGCTGTGGGATTAACTGCTTGCTACAAGCAGAAACAATTCATCCATCGCTGCTAACCACAAGTATATATATTCATACCACTGTGTGCACCAGTATTCACACTAGCTACTATTAATCAAGCCCTTCAGGGTGAAAGCATTTCCCCTTCAGAGGAGTTACTTTGAGTTGTTACCAAGATATTCCATGAAAAGATTTGTGGACTTGTATGTTGTAATATAAATTACTTACCTGTGATTTGCTTTCATATTAAAGGCATGATCAGGGTGTGTGGAGTAATACCCCCCGCTCATCACTATATGAACTTTAGTTATTTCACCAGAGACATTTTACACCGTATGAATGCAATACAGTGGCACTGCAACGTATCTGCAATACTTCCTTTAACATGCGTAGATAGCTTGCATCCATCTTTATATAGCCACCTTGAATTCCTTGGCACTATCCCCTCCCCAGTTGTGATCCATATAAGGTAATGTCATATCATCTCAGACCGTTACAGGTTGCCAGATAAGATAGATAGAAAACCAAGAGTTCACAAGATGAGGTTGGCAAACAATGGTTTGAACCAAGAGTTTGCTTTTAGATTACATGAAAAATCCCTTTATAGTAACTAACACCAATCAAAATGTCTATAGTCAAATCAGACTAAGCTGAATTCTGATTGGTCACCATGGGTTAGTACACTCTGCTCTTAAGCAGTAAAAAAAAAATAACAGTTGAATACATGTTCTTTCAAACTTATCCAAACTCAGCAGTTAAGTCTTAAAAATACATTCAAATACCTTAACTATTAAAAATGTACCTTATTTGTGTATCACTCGGCTGTAGATCCTCGAATCATCTCTAAATTGGTGCTGACACTGTCCTTCCTTCTGGAGGGTGGCTACTTTTGTTCGCCATGGTCCCTGTGTGTGTTGTAAAGTAGGCACTGCTCCAAGCTCTCTCCTGTGATGGACTACAATCTAGCATTTAATTAGATCATTTGTATTGAGATAGTAATCCATCATGGGAGTTATCTTGGAGTTTTGGCTACTTTACAACACACAGAGATCATTGGGAATAAAAGTAGCCACCCTCCAAAAGGAAGGACAGTGTCAGCACCAATTCAGAGATGATTTGAGGAGCTACAGCTGAGTGATAGACAAATAGGATACATTTTTTGTTAATGAGGTACTTGAACGCATTTTTAAGATGTAACTCCTAAGTTGAGTGTCACTTTAGGTGTAAGTTTAACTCCAGACAAAGCTTTTTTGTTTTATTGCTATTTTGTTGATTACTTATGGTTCCCACGACAATGTTATAACCAGGAGAGGAAGTGGGAATCCTTTATTGGGACCACAAACAGCAATAAAAAAAGTTGGCTGATGTCTAGTCCTTTCCCACTACATCCAAAACTAAAAAAAAGTTTGTTTGTTTTCAGCTAGAGTTCCACTTTAACTAACTGCATATAATGTTTAGTACATGAAAGGAACCTACAGTACTTTTTTGTTCCTAACAGGTTTTAGCCAAACCTTTGTACTATTTATATTATCCTGGCTAATTCTGAATGAACACATTTCAGTGCAATTATCCTGAAATCGCCATCGGTGCATCTGCTGTGTACAATGCTTAACCTTGCAAGAACCTCATTTATAAAATGTACTTTTGATTTGCCGCAGCAAGACAGGTCTTCCAAACTAATTTGCAATAATAGGCTTCTTAGTCTAGTCTCCTGTGTATAGAGTAATCACCTTAGCAAGGTTGAGGTCATCAAGCAAACATAACAATTTCTTGTTTCCTGCTGGTGTATGCAATGTGCCATGTCGCCACTCCAGTCGGTCTTTTAAGCATCCCCATAGTCTCCGAGGATCTGTTGAACTAAAAAATATGTAATTGTAATGATGTGCAGTGTCTGCCATTTCAGTGTTTCATAAACAAGATTTTTTTTTCACCCAAAAATCTGCATTGACATTACATTTTTCAGAATACTGCCTATTACTGTGCATAATGCACAGTGTGGGTTTTTTGTACAGACATCTAGAGCACATAAAAATACCTTGGACCAAGACTAGGTTAGCTGAATAGCAAAATAACTCACTGTACAATGATGCATATCTTGTATCACTACACCTTTCTGACTGTGGGCACATGAGGAGGTAACTGGAGACCACGGGACAAGGTGAAAACCTGGCCTTTTTTTCATTTCTAGGAGGGTGATGCCTGGGATGAGAGCCTGATGTTGCATCAATACAGAATGAGCCTTGTCTGAGCTCATCTTTATTTAATCAATAAAATATGGATTATTAAATTGTAATCATTGCAGTGCCTTTAAGGCCGCATTCACACTGAGTGCTGGAGGAATCACAGGTGTCCCCTTAAGATATGGCCACTGTACCCGTTCAAATTAATGATCGGATGACAGCAGCCACATCAGTAAACAGCAGTCCGCATGTAATCATATATGATAACATTACATGCAGTTTGGAATAGATAACTGTCACTGGATGCAGGATGGATGTGTCCAGCAACAGTTATCGATTTTGAGTTGTCACTGGAACAGGAATTAGGAGAAGTATTCCAATTGAGACACGTGTTGCAGTGATAAATGTCTACACTGTATGTCTTCATTCACACAGGCGTAAAGAACAGTCATTGGCTTTGGATTAACAAAGCTTTTCAAACACTTTGCACAGCAACTGTCATATCTTTACATGAATAGCCAATGATCTATTATAAAAAATGTATTTGTGTTGCTTTGAGTTAATTTTGATCTTGCCTGCCATAGGTAGGTGTTGCAACTGGCAAATCTTGCCACATGACTCAAAAGTCAATAGAAGCACACCACAAACAGGTTCACAATTCTCCTAAGGTATCTGGCTTGTGTTTGTATTTCCTTATTTACCTCCCTCCTTCCCCAAAAAAAGGAGTTCTAAGAGTTTCAAACGAGATTTCTAGTGGCTATGAAACTCATCTAAAAGATGTCTAACATGCAAACTAATGTTGTAGTTGTCTAGAGGCATTTTACTCTCAATGCCATGTGAACATAACCGAAGAGAGGATTTCTTATTTTTTGGAGAGAATTTTCTCTTGCCTACTGTTGTGCCTATAAGACAGAATGTGAAGGAAATATCACCACGGGGACACAGGTAGCAATAATACACCTGAACGGGGTTCTAATTTTCCCGTACACTATCCAAAACTTTGAAACGTGTTTTAATATTTACAGTTTTCTTCCCCCAGAAAAAGATAATTCATTCCAATTAGCTTTGCATAGAGCATATTTTGCAGAGCCAGCTCTGAGTGAAGTGTTTAGTACTATGTATGACAGTTCAGACTATAGGAATTTGAGCACAATATTTACCTGTTGATAGGAATTCTTAGTTCAGACATCTCTGCTACGTCCCCCAAGCACAGAGCATTAAGCAGCTCATGGCTGAGAACAGATTTTCCACACCCGGTATCTCCAGCCAAAAGAACAGGACAGCCTGAGGTAGTCAATAAGCTTGAAAGGTATAGCAGTTGCTGGAAAAAAAGGCAACTTAATTATGTTTGGCTACCCATCTGTGTTACAAAGTCTGACTAATCACTAAAATTCCTAAATAAATGAAGCAGAGTAAAATTCCAATACTTCTACTATGCCTTGAACTAGACATGTGCAATTCGTTTCGTTCCGAATCGAAATTCGGACGAATTTTCGTAAATTCAGACATTCGGATGTATCCGAATTCCGAATTACAGACATAACGAATGCAAACGAATCCGAATTTCCATTTCCGAAATTCGGTAGCGTTCGCACGAACGTTCGTTTCGTTTTCTGTTCTTATTCGTTTCTTATTCGTTTCGTTCGTTGGAGCAAAGTGACATTAGAGAAGGAGAAAAATATTTTTTTCACCTCAAATGTCACTTTTGCTGCAAACGAATAAGAAACGAATAAGAACAGAAAACGAAACGAATGTTCGTACTAACGCTACCGAATTTCGTCCGAATCCGAATTCCGAATCCGAATTGACTCTCACACCCGAATCCTGAAAAACGAAATAACACAAATCCGAATTTAAAACGAAACGAAACGAATTTTTTGGCAGTGCACATGTCTACCTTGAACTACAGGCACTGTAGACTTCACACTGATATCAATGTGGAATACCTTGTACTGGACACATTCAAATGCATAATGCAATCATTTTTTCACATGGGATCATTTTTTTATTTCCACCCACTTTAGCATTTGCAATTTTTATTTCATATACAAACAGAAGTAATAAACAACACCATCACATGCTGATTTCCCATTTATTAATTTTGATACCCTTTTAATGAATATATGCAATATTTTCTCTACTGACCAGAATTATGGACAGGTAAAATTGTTTTTAGATTTTGTTTAAAAAAAAAAGGAAAAATAATATGTATTTAAAATTTGTAAAGCCATAGGCATTACATTTGGGAAGCAAACATCTGAATTATTGCTTTAAAATCTATGTAGTGTTATTCAAAAAGTAGAATAACATTTTTTTTATAAATACAATCTTGAATAGCATTCAGAGAAAAGTAACAATGTTTTCTAATAGCTTGCCTCCTCATTTGTAGTTACTTACACTGCCCACAATCCACAAACACCATTTTCACCAGCCAGAGCCCTGCCAAAAACAGCATGTGCCCCTCTTTCCTTTTTCCCACAATGCAGAGCTCTGCACCTAAGTAGACCATTGTCATGCCCGAGGATTTTTCACATTGGAGACGGGGGAAGGACCTCAGGCCTCTTTTAGCTCCAAAACTGATCAACACAGAGCTTACACAGGGCCTTTCACTTAGGGTTCCAGCAGGCAAACAGAGCAGTGGGATAACATGGGGAAACTCAGTATCAGTGACAGAGGAGGTGGGCTGTTGAGAGACAATAGGCAAAAACCCCTTCCAGGGCAGAGGGAAGTATGGAGAGGTGCCACCCCAGGGTTCTCTGCTGATATCACAGATTGCAATATCATATCACATTCCGAAGCAGGTGAAAAGCTAAGGTACAATGTCTTTGCAAAGGGACAACCGACCCAGTGATACCTTGCCATCTCTCCACTGTTGCTCCTTCCTCTGGTGCAGGCAGTAAAAATACCTGGTTATGGTGACAGTGCTTAAGTCTAGAAACCAATAGCTATACTCAAGCATTGTCACATGATAGAGGGAGTGACTATACCGTTCCTCCGAGCATCTGACCATGTGGGTTTTAGTTAAGGCTGTGAGTGGAAAATAAATATCAGTGGGTCAGTGGGGAAGGGGAACCTTTGCAAAAACAATGTAATTTACCCTGAATGGGCAAGGTAGTATTGTCTCCTCAACTCCAAAAATTAGCCTTTTCACCTAATGAAAAATCTGTATCTTAAAAGCACTTAAAACTTGTGTTGCTTTGATGTATCAAGCATTATTTTACCAAATGGATATAACACATTCAATTATTCTTATAGCATAGTATATGCAATCGCCTGGGCAGCCACCTCAGCCATAACAACCTTCTCGATCCCCTACACTCCACTGAAACTGCCCTCCTAAAACTCACTAATGACTTACTAACAGCTAAAAACAACGGCCACTACTCCGTACTCTTGCTATTAGACCTTTCTGCTGCTTTTGACACTGTTGGCCACCCTCTGCTCCTCAGAAAACTCCATTCACTTGGCCTACAAGACTCTGCTCTTTCATGGTTCTCCTCCTACCTATCTAGGCGCTCGTTTAGTGTAACCTACAAATCTACATCTTCCTCTCCTCTTCCCCTGTCTGTTGGGGTCCCCCAAGGCTCTGTCCTTGGGCCCCTTCTCTTCTCTATCTACACCTCCTCTCTTGGTCAGCTGATCTCCTCACATGGCTTCCAGTATCACCTCTATGCTGACGACATTCAAATCTATTTCTCCACTCCACAACTCATCGAAGAGAGGATTTCTTATTTTTTGGAGAGAATTTTCTCTTGCCTACTGTTGTGCCTATAAGACAGAATGTGAAGGAAATATCACCACGGGGACACAGGTAGCAATAATACACCTGAACGGGGTTCTAATTTTCCCGTACACTATCCAAAACTTTGAAACGTGTTTTAATATTTACAGTTTTCTTCCCCCAGAAAAAGATAATTCATTCCAATTAGCTTTGCATAGAGCATATTTTGCAGAGCCAGCTCTGAGTGAAGTGTTTAGTACTATGTATGACAGTTCAGACTATAGGAATTTGAGCACAATATTTACCTGTTGATAGGAATTCTTAGTTCAGACATCTCTGCTACGTCCCCCAAGCACAGAGCATTAAGCAGCTCATGGCTGAGAACAGATTTTCCACACCCGGTATCTCCAGCCAAAAGAACAGGACAGCCTGAGGTAGTCAATAAGCTTGAAAGGTATAGCAGTTGCTGGAAAAAAAGGCAACTTAATTATGTTTGGCTACCCATCTGTGTTACAAAGTCTGACTAATCACTAAAATTCCTAAATAAATGAAGCAGAGTAAAATTCCAATACTTCTACTATGCCTTGAACTAGACATGTGCAATTCGTTTCGTTCCGAATCGAAATTCGGACGAATTTTCGTAAATTCAGACATTCGGATGTATCCGAATTCCGAATTACAGACATAACGAATGCAAACGAATCCGAATTTCCATTTCCGAAATTCGGTAGCGTTCGCACGAACGTTCGTTTCGTTTTCTGTTCTTATTCGTTTCTTATTCGTTTCGTTCGTTGGAGCAAAGTGACATTAGAGAAGGAGAAAAATATTTTTTTCACCTCAAATGTCACTTTTGCTGCAAACGAATAAGAAACGAATAAGAACAGAAAACGAAACGAATGTTCGTACTAACGCTACCGAATTTCGTCCGAATCCGAATTCCGAATCCGAATTGACTCTCACACCCGAATCCTGAAAAACGAAATAACACAAATCCGAATTTAAAACGAAACGAAACGAATTTTTTGGCAGTGCACATGTCTACCTTGAACTACAGGCACTGTAGACTTCACACTGATATCAATGTGGAATACCTTGTACTGGACACATTCAAATGCATAATGCAATCATTTTTTCACATGGGATCATTTTTTTATTTCCACCCACTTTAGCATTTGCAATTTTTATTTCATATACAAACAGAAGTAATAAACAACACCATCACATGCTGATTTCCCATTTATTAATTTTGATACCCTTTTAATGAATATATGCAATATTTTCTCTACTGACCAGAATTATGGACAGGTAAAATTGTTTTTAGATTTTGTTTAAAAAAAAAAGGAAAAATAATATGTATTTAAAATTTGTAAAGCCATAGGCATTACATTTGGGAAGCAAACATCTGAATTATTGCTTTAAAATCTATGTAGTGTTATTCAAAAAGTAGAATAACATTTTTTTTATAAATACAATCTTGAATAGCATTCAGAGAAAAGTAACAATGTTTTCTAATAGCTTGCCTCCTCATTTGTAGTTACTTACACTGCCCACAATCCACAAACACCATTTTCACCAGCCAGAGCCCTGCCAAAAACAGCATGTGCCCCTCTTTCCTTTTTCCCACAATGCAGAGCTCTGCACCTAAGTAGACCATTGTCATGCCCGAGGATTTTTCACATTGGAGACGGGGGAAGGACCTCAGGCCTCTTTTAGCTCCAAAACTGATCAACACAGAGCTTACACAGGGCCTTTCACTTAGGGTTCCAGCAGGCAAACAGAGCAGTGGGATAACATGGGGAAACTCAGTATCAGTGACAGAGGAGGTGGGCTGTTGAGAGACAATAGGCAAAAACCCCTTCCAGGGCAGAGGGAAGTATGGAGAGGTGCCACCCCAGGGTTCTCTGCTGATATCACAGATTGCAATATCATATCACATTCCGAAGCAGGTGAAAAGCTAAGGTACAATGTCTTTGCAAAGGGACAACCGACCCAGTGATACCTTGCCATCTCTCCACTGTTGCTCCTTCCTCTGGTGCAGGCAGTAAAAATACCTGGTTATGGTGACAGTGCTTAAGTCTAGAAACCAATAGCTATACTCAAGCATTGTCACATGATAGAGGGAGTGACTATACCGTTCCTCCGAGCATCTGACCATGTGGGTTTTAGTTAAGGCTGTGAGTGGAAAATAAATATCAGTGGGTCAGTGGGGAAGGGGAACCTTTGCAAAAACAATGTAATTTACCCTGAATGGGCAAGGTAGTATTGTCTCCTCAACTCCAAAAATTAGCCTTTTCACCTAATGAAAAATCTGTATCTTAAAAGCACTTAAAACTTGTGTTGCTTTGATGTATCAAGCATTATTTTACCAAATGGATATAACACATTCAATTATTCTTATAGCATAGTATATGCAATCGCCTGGGCAGCCACCTCAGCCATAACAACCTTCTCGATCCCCTACACTCCACTGAAACTGCCCTCCTAAAACTCACTAATGACTTACTAACAGCTAAAAACAACGGCCACTACTCCGTACTCTTGCTATTAGACCTTTCTGCTGCTTTTGACACTGTTGGCCACCCTCTGCTCCTCAGAAAACTCCACTCACTTGGCCTACAAGACTCTGCTCTTTCATGGTTCTCCTCCTACCTATCTAGGCGCTCGTTTAGTGTAACCTACAAATCTACATCTTCCTCTCCTCTTCCCCTGTCTGTTGGGGTCCCCCAAGGCTCTGTCCTTGGGCCCCTTCTCTTCTCTATCTACACCTCCTCTCTTGGTCAGCTGATCTCCTCACATGGCTTCCAGTATCACCTCTATGCTGACGACATTCAAATCTATTTCTCCACTCCACAACTCACCGCTTCAGTCTCCTTACGCATCACTAACTTACTAACTGTCCGTGTGGATGTCACAACATTTCCTAAAGCTCAATCTATCAAAAACTGAGCTTATGGTATTCACACCCCCCACGCGCACCCTCCCCCAACTTTTCAATCATGATTAATGACACAACCATCCAACCCTCCCCCCATGCCAGGGTGCTGGGTGTCATCCTTGACTCGGGCCTCACCTTTCTCCCCCACATCCAATCACTATCCAAATCCTGCCGCCTTCACCTTCATAACATCTCCAAAATACGCCCCTTCCTCACCAATGAAACCACAAAGCTGCTTATCCACTCCCTTGTCATCTCTCGTCTCGACTACTGTAACTTCCTTCTCATTGGCCTACCTCTACACAGGCTATCCCCTCTTCAGTCTATCATAAATGCTGCTGCCAGACTTATCCACCTAACCAACCTCTCAGTGTCTGCAACCCCCCTATGTCAATCCCTGCACTGGCTTCCAATAGCCCAAAGGGTAAAATTCAAAATATTAACAACCACTTACAATGCCATCCACAACTCTGCCCCCAGCTATATCTCAAACCTTGTCTGCAAGTATCACCCTAAACGTCCCCTACGTTCCTCCCAAGACCTCTTGCTCTCTAGCTCCCTTGTCAACTCCTTCCATGCTCGCCTCCAGGACTTCACCAGAGTCTCCCCCGTTCTGTGGAACTCATTACCCCAACCTGTCCGCCTATCTCCTACTCTGTCTACCTTTAGGCGTTCCCTTAAGACTCATCTCTTCAGGGAAGCTTATCCAACCTAACCACTAAAATATCAATCTCTCAAACAATTCATCCCCACACAGCTACCTCCTCACGTATCACTTCCCCCTCCCGTTAGATTGGAAGCCCTCAGGGGCAGGGCCCTCCTCACCATATTGTCCTGGTTTGTATTGTAATGTCTTCCTTATATTGTAAAGCGCTGCGCAAACTGTTGGCGCTATATAAATCCTGTATAATAGTATATGATCTGCAGCTTGATGTCCAATGTTGCATATATTAAAACATGTGTTTAACAAAGTACACATTGCAATTGCAGTCTGGAGTTTAAGGTTAATTTCTTTACAAAAAATAACATTTCACATCTTAACTGGTTTAAAATAAAACATATTCATGATTTTCTGACTGCAGTTGCAAATAAATAAAATATGTGTAGCACAGATAAAATATTACCTCGCTGTGTAGTGTGTGAGCAAACGCCTCGGAGGCCATGTTTTGTCCATGACTAACAGAGTAGGAGGAAAGTGTGTCATGCCATCTGACAAAATGTCGCGTATCAGTGTCAATGTGATAGTCCCAGACCTGCAGCAAAAATGAATACTGATTGTCAGCAACAAACGTTCGATTGGAATTAAATATTTATGCTCATGAGTAGTGATGACAGGTCCTGACACTTATTTGCAGGCACATCATTCAAGCATGATCACTCCTTGCCAAAAGATAACCAGTGCCAAGCTACATTGTCTCTTCTAGAAGATGATGCTTGTCTACCAGAAAAGGCAGCTGTTGGCTGTTAACACTTGCACTGACAAGGCATCATTCCGTCTTGCTAACATAAATGTAATATACATGGCTTTGTTAAAGTATATGTAAATCCAGTTACTACATAAAAACTTTATGGTGTAAAGGGTCATTTTGAAAGTCACTCAATTCTTTTAAATCTGCAGTTTTTATTTTTTTTAAATACCTGGAGGTTCTGCCAGAAGGGTTTTGGCTTAGGCTCTCTCTCTGTTAAAAGTTAATACTCTGTCCCTATCTCCCAATTGTGTTCCTGCATTGTCACACAAAGGAGGCCACAAGTGGCCATTTCAAGCATGGTGCAATATTTTGACCCCCAGGAATTCTGCCCTGAGAAATGCCATGCAGCCATCGTTGGAGTGAAAACAAGTATTTTTATTTAAAAAGCAATTGTTTGTGATACACAGCGATTTACTCAATTTACACAGGACTGCTGATATGGGGGAATATAGGCAGTCCTCCCATACTGGGCCCAGGCTACCCTGCTTACCTGATGGGGCCTGAGCTGCTTGACTGACAGCTGACATCATGGGCCAAAGATTGGCCATGTCTTGCTTAGCAGGGATAGGATCGCTGGATGCACATCGCTGTGACCGAAAATGGGCCACAGTTTGTACAGAGAAGAGAAGCAGGCTAGAGAAAAAATTAGGGAAGAGAGGCAGTTCTGAGAACTGCTGGTTTGACAAGGAAGCGCCCCCAAGTTGGCTTTGCTCTGGCAGGTTACTCCTCAGCTGCACTCCACTGAATGGGAAGGGTGGGTTAAATATTTGCAGAGACAAGGTCTGTGAGGTAGGTAAGAAAGGGGGCCCTATCATGTAGGCTGTATGGAGCTCCATGGGTTTTAATGGTTGCCCTGCATTTACACCACTATAATTTAGTACTGAATGTTACATACATTTGTTCACTGTGGTGCAGCTATGTTAAATGCGTCACAATGGGCCATCCTGGTGTAAATGGGCCCTTTAGGGTTTACATATACTTTAACAAAAATATTGTGCCATTTTAATCTGATCATTGCCCTGTGTGTATGGCCAGTTTGAAGATATAGGATTGTGGATCATATCATATAAATAATAACTGTAGCAGTCACACAGTGTGCATACATTTTAATTGTATGATCTGTAAGAACGCACATTGGGAAATAAGCCAGCTGTATTCAGAGAACACAACATAACAGGGTTCATAATTTACACTCTGAAAGTATACACACAGGAACAGAAGAGGAACTTTATCTACTGGCCAACTTGGGTTGCTGAGCTATACTCCTTTCTGTGTTGCAATACATAATACATATATATTAAGCTGGCTAATCTAATCAAATACACTGGCATTAATTACATTCTTGGTTAGAGTAATTAGGACCTAAAGAGATTATCAGTGAAAGCAATAACTGATTTACACTGTAAACATCCTACATTGTATCACACATATGAAAAATAAACATTACCTCTCCTTCTGTTGGAAAGGTGGTGTGGTTTCTGTATGTGTGTCTCCACCAGTTGCTGAACTTTGTTCTCTCACCGGAGTCCAACCATCCTCCAAAAGACCATATGCATGAAAATATAAAATATTTCTTCATATCCTCACCCAGCATGTCAGGGACATGGACCATCAAAGCCTTTGAAAGGAAATAGGCACGTTATTTGAATATTCAGGGTTTTCACCAAAACCAAGCAACTTCTCTAATAAATCTGCAAACTGACTTCACTAAAGTGTATATATAAGCAAAATGTTTTCAGTTTAGTTTTGGGTGGAGTAGACTATAGAAAACGATTGTGCGGAGCTAGCAGTGACAGCTAGCTCCGCCCAATAGTTTCCTATTGTCCGGCGGCTCTGCTGCTATAAAATAAAAAACTCTCGCGGGCGCTCTGGGAGCCTCCTGCTCCCGGCCTTCGGCTCAGCTGAGCCGCTCGGCCATGATCGGAAGCTGTACGGGCTATTGTGAATAGCCCGTACAGCACCCCTTTGGTTCTACTGAACCGAAGGGGTCCTGGTGCCGAAGCTAGCTGAAGGATCGCCCGAAGCTATGGCCAGATCCTTCAGCAGCTTCGTTCATAGACCCCTCAGTGTCTGTCTTCACTGTGGAGATTGGCCCTTTGTCACTAGAATTGAAACTGATTGGAAATTCAAAATTTTACAGTTGTCACCAGAACACAAAATGAGGGAAAATCTTCAAATGGTGACGACTGCTCTGGTGACAATTGCCTAAGTGGGAAATTCCCTCACTTACTGTTGTGCCTCCATACAGGAAATGACAGGAAATCTCCCCAATGGGATAGAGGCAGCAAAAAATAAACTGACAGAGGTTTAAACCCTTCCCTACTCTATCCACAAAGGAATGAATTATACATACGTTTAAGCAAAATAATTTTCCAATATTAAAATGTAAAGCAGCAACAATTAGAACATTTGTGATCTGCAATATTGTGCTAGAAAATAAATGAAAGAACTTTTTTGGGCCTGATTTACTAAAGCTGATGTTCGGTGAAGTGAACCAGTGCCCACTACTAGCCATGAGAAGAAAGAGCTAAGTTTTTTACATTCTCCGCCACCTGATTGGATATTTGAAATGAATCTCAACAGAATCTCTTCATTGTACTTCCAGCTTAATATAATTGAACAAAGCTCAGCAAAAACATTCACAGGGTTATTCACATTCAACTACCCTATTAACAAAAATGTAGCTGATTTGTGTATCACTCATGTGTAGATCCTCAAATCATCTCTGAATTGGTGCTGACACTGTCCTTCCTTCTGGAGGGTGGCTACTTTTGTTCCCCATTGTCCCTGTGTATGTTGTAAAGTAGCCACCGCTCCAAGCTCACTCCTATAATGGACTATAATCTCACATTTAGTTTACCAATTTGTATTGAGATTGTAGTCCTCAGGCAGCAAAAAATAAACTGACGGAGTTTTAAACTCGTCCCTATTCTATTCACAAGGGTTTGAGCTATACATAAGCCCAAGATAGCTAGAAATTAAGCAGAATATCTATGTTGTCACACTCCTGTTGCACACCTCTAGAATAAGATTGGAGTGAATTTACTAAGACTAGAGCAGACGGAATCTGGAGCAGCAGTGCATGGCAACCAATCAGCTTCTATCTTCAGCTTGTTCAGTTAAGCTTTGAAAATGAAAGCTAGAATCTGATTTGTTGCCATGCACAGCTGCTCTACATAATTGCCTGCTCCAGTCTTAATAAATTCCCCTCTGAGTGCTTGTCTTCTAAGTATTATCCATGTTAAAAGTACCATTGTCACATACAAGAAGGTTCCATTAGGCATGATCAGTAACACAGCCAAAGACATGAGTCTAATCATAAACTATTTTTTTACTAATCTTACTACAATGTACTAAAACGTGATTGGCTGCAATGGCATACTGCCTTCCTTATAAAGAGAGCTTGCATCATGTGTGAAATGATCAAGGCAAGAACAGGATTTCAATATTTAAAATAGCTGTAATAAATCCTTCGAACTGCTCTTAGCAGCTCATATAGTGAAAAGAGAGCTTCCATTTGTCAGTTGTCATGTTGAATTCCTGAAAACCAGTGCATTGCAATTCCACTTCGTTAAATCCACAAAGATATTTATTATCATACATTCTCCAGAAGAATCTGAGTTTTTATAATGAAAAATGTTGGCAATACTAATATGGTGTGAGGGTAGAATTGTTGCTTTTGGCTTGAGAAGTAGTAAAATTTCTCATGTCATTTGTTGAATAATTTTTCTCTCATTTAGAGACAGTACTTTAATTGGCAGCAAAATTAGCCATCTGCACTGGAAAGAACAAAGACAGCATGCTAATACGGAAAACACACTATAATAATATTACTGCCTCAGGATTTTTCTTGTAATACCTTGTGCTACAAAAACAATTGCACTTTTTTTCACAGTGCTTCTGCAAATAATATTGGCACTGGCTTCACTACTGACACAAGTCTAAACAGATAATGTTGTCTATATATTGATATATCTTTCATAAATACAGTGACAAATCTGACATGTTTTATTTGACTTGCTGCATGGTGCTCAATTAACAAAGTCTTCCATCATGCTAGCAGATTACTGTTTATATACTGTATATTTTGAGCATTTCAAAATACTTGCCATGAACTATGTAAAATCTACCCAGTTATTATAAACACTTAAACCTTGCTTGCTTACTGTCGTTAGCCATCAATTAAAGCAAACGTTAAAAAATATATATATATACACAACTCCCCAACCTGTGCTAGGCGCCTTTGCTGCCTACAGTTACATTTACTATCGCTTTTCTGCACCATGCTGAAAAAATCCTGATATTTCATAACATGGAGAAGAATGCGACATGCCACCTGCTTCCTTTTGTTTAACAAGAATTAAAGATATTCCTTTAAAATTGTATTAATAGTCCTTTTAAGATATATGATACATGAAAATGGGTATTGTTTTAAAAATACAATATAACTTTGTAATTATAGGATTAGTCGTTTTTTTATAGATCCTTTTTCACAGACCAGAACCAAACACAGGTATGCAGGTGCGCTTACTATGTAATAATAGGACATTCTATATGCTGGGAATATATCAGTCTGGTGTCATGAATCCATATCCTTTTTTCCTGTTGTGATTTTATTAAAGGATAAGAATAGAATTTAGGATAGGATCCAAGCAGAGGAAACAAGGACAATGGGCAAATGCTGACCTACACGTTATGGAGCTTGCAGTGCCCCCTTTGTCAGCAGCCAGTACAGTGACCTATGGAAAAAGTGAGGAGAGGCATTTCCAGGCTTTCCCTACATTCCAGGTCACATGACATGGTGATATGAGGGAAGTATAAGAGCACTTCTCCTTATACTGTGGTACATCCCACACTGATCATGAGGTTTGAGTATGTGCTCTTTCCCAAAGGCTTGACATTAGCTCAGGGTTTTGTCTTTTGGATTAGCCCCGTGGTGACACTGTCAAAACACCTGGCAAAAGATGGAGCAGGTAGCAGTTAGTATGCTATGTTATGGACAAGCAGGTGGATCTGTGGATAGGCTGGATGTGGTGTGAACCAGCCCTTAAGATCATTCCTGGAGTAACACTCTAGGTCTCTTGCACATGCCACAAACTAGTCAGCTTGTTTGGAAGAAAATGGGTTTCTGCAGATTGCGCTGACTTTATATAAGAATTATGTGAAAATTGCAGTAACACTTAGCAACCAGAGATGATACTGCTTTGATCTGGCTACACTAAACATTTCAATTTTCAGTTTAGAATACTTTGTTGGTACCTGTATATATCTGCTTTTGCACGACATTAAATACAGGTCTCTGGGTGTAAAAAGAAACATGACTATATACACATACATAATGAAATGTATTCAGTCCAGTAGCCTATCGCAACAATGTAAAGGTGATCAGTTCAGGCCAGGAGAAACATTATGGAATATTGGTTACTATGGAATACTTTGTACATTACTCTTTCGTTTATAACATAATGAATACGAATTTGGTGTCTTTGATTCACCTGAATACACTGAAAAACACATACATATAGCATACCTTGGCAATCTTACAGAATGTCTGCACCACACTTGCTTCACAAAGGAAGAGCTCTCTGTGTTGCCTCTTTCTTTCCTCTCTTTGTCCTTGTGGATTAAGTATGTGTTTATTTCTAAGAAACTGTAAGCAGGGCTCTAAAATAAAATTAAATACATGTAAATACAGGACAAACATCAAGCGTTCAGCCATTAAGGACAATTAGCATAAATAAGAGTTTAGTTAAATTTGGTTCACTCATATTCTGAATGTTCTTCAGGCAGAGGCCCGCTGGATGAGGCAATGTCAGTGAATGGACAGTTGCCTGTCTGTTGCATCTAAACCTAATAAATTTAAGAACTGAGCCAACCAGCTCTGTACAACCTTTAGACCCAGTGATAGGATGTGCTCAATTAGAGGTGCAGATGCACACTGGGCATTCTCTTTCAGCATCTAAAGCTGACCATAAATCTGTTTGCACATTCTCCTTTGGATGAACCAAGAGCTATAAAATACAAGAGTCTCCCTGATTGGATATAAATTGAATGAATTGTTAAAGTAGGACAACATATACTACAGTTGTGGTAAACCTAAAGGAGATTGCACAGAGATTGTGCATTCAAATTGTAATATGTGTGACAAGCTTGAGGCCTAAAAGAGGAACTCTGCACGATTTAGCTGTAAATAAAATATATAATTTGGATGGATTGGCTCGTTAACCCTTTGCCTTGTGTAATAGAAAAATGTTGCATGTTACTTTTAACTCTTTCTACCAAAATAGCATGTCTATGTAGCACTTGTTATAGAGTTCTTATAGTCCCCTTCCAAGTATACCTACATTATCTTTGCTACATATGAGTAAAAAAAGCAATCTGCCATTTTGCATCTTGTTTCCTTGCTCCTGTATATATTCTTCAGACAGCCTGTATTTCAGATGCTTGGATAGATGCCCATTGGCTTCCCTAATTGCATACTTCCCATGATACTAAGTAAATAAACCACTTTTGGACAGTCACCTTATTTGCAGCCGAGGTAAACCATTGATAATTATCACTTAGCATTTCGAGCAGCTAAACAGCTCAGCAAAATGACATTAATACTAAAATACAGCTAATCCGCCCATCTGTCAGAAGCAGGCTGTCGGCTGACCAATGGCCGGCCACTCGGCCATCTTCGGCTTTCAGCGCGGCTCAGCCGAGCCGATGCATATGCGTTCGGCTCGGGTGAGCCGCTCGGCCATGATCGGGAGCTGTTTCACAATAGCCCGTACAGCACCCCTTTGGTTCTACTGAACCGAAGGGGTCCTGGGGCCGAAGCTAGCCGAAGGATCGCCCGAAGCTACGGCCAGATCCTTCGGCAAATCTTCATTTATTTACATCAGATTGCAGTTGGAGGCGTGCGAATCCACAGTGCCAACTGAGAGTAAAAGAATGGTTAATAGCAAGTCGTGCCAGAAGATAGATCTCACTCCTGGATTTCTTCCTGAATGGTATATGAAGCCAGCAAGGATTTAAACTGCAAGCATTCATCGATGAATAAAATTTCACCTTTGCATGTGTTCAGATACAAAGCCTAAATTTAGGTAAACACCTAAATATACACAAAAAATACTGTACACATATGTAGACAAAGGATGCGTGATTTTATTCAGTCTTCTGATGCAGACTCCTAGGTCAGGCAGCCTACTTAGGTCTCTCTGCAGATTACATCTCTCTCCTGGATCTCTCTGCAGACTACAGCAGTAGTACAACAGAGTCTAGAGGCCAACCCAGCCTGTAACTGGACAATGATGGAGCAGCAGTACACTGTTGATGTCACCTGTGTGCTCTTTTCTCCTATAAGCATGTTCTTATGTTTGACTGACAGCACTCTACAATAGAATAGGACCATGATTGCCTAATAGTGTTGACCCTCGCTTTCCCAGTCTGATAGTTGCTGTGCAGGAGATTACAAGAGCCTTCATATCAAAACAGATTCAGGCAGTTACACTAGTTCTATGCAAAGATACTTTTAGTAATTTGAATTAATACTGAATTAAATATTGTCCTTTGTTTTTCCTGCAGTTCAGCTTTAACTTCCCTACCATCAATAAAACTAGAATATAGGGGTCTGAATGATTATTCAGTTCAAGATGTGACTACATCACCGTTATACTTTTTGACAGTAATGGCTCTATTGAGAATTCTTTCATGCGGCACCAAGGTGCCTTCTTTATGATTCTCACTGATTCACCACCATAATGAAATAAATGTTATCCTTCCAGCAGCTATGATTGAAAAACTACATTTTGCCATTTCCTTTTCACCAGTAAGAAGTACACAAACTTTAATCAACTACCAAATTCAAAAATGAAAATCATATTTGCTATAAATCAAATTCACACTATCTCATCAAACGCATTGCATTGGGCGAAGTTCAGGCTGTCAGTGTGATGTACAGCACACAGCGAGCACTAATATAAGCTAAATTGCCTGAGTCATGAGCAATGATACTGTAATTCTACAGAAAATTGGAAATCAATTCCTGTCATTGCAGCATATAACTCCTTTATCAGAGTTCCAGTTCACCCATGTAATACAGCTGGAAAGAGGTTTCAGCTGGCATTCATACCAATTTCATTCAATAAACGGAAATCATGTTTTAGTTACGGAGCCTGGGAAAACTCTGAGCAAATACACTACGGCATTAAACGGTTGGAACTCTATGATTTGGGCACAGACATAGAATCAATGTACAATTAGAGATTTACAACAAATTCCTGTAAAGGAAGAAAATAATGTAAGTGATGCAGTTAATATGAGACTGTCATAGATGAAGCACACTTGGGCAAACAAGTATAAACAAGTTTGGTTGCCCAGACCTTTGTTATTATGGTGGCTTCTCACAATTTTGTTTTTATAAAGCTGAAGACTTTGACTCATTGAGACTGATTTATTAAAATAGGAGAGAGATGGTTTACTTAGCAATGTGAATGCTCACTGAGCTTAGTAAATTAGATGAAGCTGTGTTCACACCAAGGAAATCGTACTGATTACCTCCTTCTATGCCCACCGTGTACAACACCAAAGCATAACTAGTGGCTTCATGACTGCCCACAGACCTTCTGACTTATTTAAGTGTTCTTAGCCTGCCCTACCTATGTCAAAAGTAAAGCCTGAGTATATCATACTTTTAATAGCTATTTTATATTTTTTTCAACTAATTGCAAGTCAGGGGAGCTGTATTTAGACACCTAAACGGTTTTAAAATCTTGTTCAAACTATATGCCTTCTGTCCTATGATTATTTTATTAAAAACTGCAGCAAGAATGTGTGATTTGAGTCAGTATGGGGTCTGCTTTATATGTAGAGCTACTTTTTAACAAAAAAAAAAGCAAAATAGAAAAGAGTGATGTCTCTTTCTAACAGGCTCCTAACATTTCAAGAACCCTCTTCCCATTATAATTGGTTTGTTAACTTTAGCCACAAATGGCCAGAGGGCGGGAAGGAAATGTGGAAAAAGCCATCACAATTTGTAAATGCTAAGGCTAAGTTTAACATAATCTCATTATGAGAGGCAAGATTTAACTGGCCGTACACAGACTGAATTTCAGTCATTTCCTGTTGAATTGGATAAAATTTGATTCATGGGGGGTCCTACTAGTATCACCTGGCTCAGCCAAAGTTGACGTTTCAATTGACTTTTGTTGAAAGAGCAGGGTGGAGATTTGTTGGCCAAACATACCGCAGCCAATTAGATTCAGTCATTGTTCAGGTATTCTAACAGCCGTGGATGCAGGGTATCAGAAATCAAAGCTATCAGGGGAAATTTCCTTATCCACTCTGTTTGGCGTGGATGGGGTAATTAAAATAATGTTATTGTGTATCAGCTTAAGCGGTCTATTTATCAATGTTTTCACCCAAGATTCACATTCATCCAAGATGTACCCATTTTTTATTTCAATCTTTTTTTAAATGTGTACATCTGAGTAAAAATTAATTGAATATTGGATGAAAACAGACTCCTAAATTAGGATCTCAAGATTATGATCATATTAGAAAAATTTATTTTTCCTTGGAACTGCAGTGATTTTGCATGCGGCATTGCACAGAACATTCTAATAATTCAGTTATGAAATTACACATGATTTATATGTAATAAAGACATTTTGCATTGTTAATCACCTCTCAGTTTGGAAACAGAAAAATATTAATAGCATTATCACTAAGTTACTTTTGGGGTGATTTTCTATTTTTTACTACTTTAATGACTATTGACCTTAGGTATAGTGTGTTCCACAACAAATAAAGATGACAAAGAAACACTTGCTTTTTTTCATGTTCTAAGAAGGATTAGCTGGGGCAGTACCTATTAATTGGCCTTAATTATGTAAAAAGTTTTTCTATAAGAAGCACTCGAGGAGTGAATGATTTTTACCACTTAGGATCAGATTATGATGTGTTTAAACTTATAGAGAGGATGAATATCTATCAGAAAGAAACCTTTGAACATGTAAATCCTCTTATGTAAAATGGTACTGGGTTTTATGCCTTATCTTTTTTTCAAATGAGGACTTGCCGTGCTATAAGTATGTCATTATCATGCCCCATCACCTCAGAATGTTAATGATGAAGCTCTCCACAAACTACATTGAGCCTTTTATTATTTTGTAATAAACATGACAACGATATGTGTAGTGTGTGTATGTTCTTTGTAAGAAAACATGTATTATATGTATAAATATTGAGTCTTCCATTGGTGACCTCCTTCTAAGAATACTAGTTGCCTGGTTAGCTCTAAAATTGTATTTCTGAGACACTTACCCAAGAGTAATATGCAGATTAGGAAAGTTATAGTGAAGTCGGAACTCCTAATTTGCAGACTTGTTTCAGGTCAGTGACATTGAACACACTTAAGCCACTGGAGCATCATGGAAACTAGGCAAGTAACATTTTCAGAAGATGGCATAAGCAATGGCAGCTTCCACAATCCATCATCACACATTTCTATTAAAGATTGTAGCTACCTATGACTCATTCTGGCAGTTTTTCTGTCATATTACAAGACCTTTGCTGCACTTATAACATAACCTTAAAGATTAATTACAGTCAGATATTTAAATCTGAACTCCAGGCATAAATATTTATGTATACTTTCATTGGTCCAGCTTGGCCCAATG